GTGGCACGTATTCGCCGCTCGCCGCAACTTACCGCATCTTGGACGAGGGCGAGCGGCACGAGGCCTCCTTTGGAAGCGTCATTCACCGACGTACACCAGATGTACTCGTCATTGAAGACATCGTCGACGGTGAACACGTCACCCATGTTGAACCTAAGCAAGGACAAACAAAATAAACAGGCTGTTCAGGCAAAGCGACGTAGTTCGGCGTCAATTTTCAAAATCGAAAGCGCCAGAGTACCATGCATGGCTGAAGTCACCAGCAGTCTCCCCCCCCCCCCCCCCCCCCCCCCCCAATGCAGGCTGCATTTCATGTATGCAGACACAGATAGAAGTAACACACTGTGCGGGCTTGTTGCTACAGCGGACAGTGGAGTATATTGGCAACAGGCATACAGTAGCATGGTGTAATTCGGGTGCGGATGCGACCGCACGCACACACACACACACACACACACACACACCCGCACGCACACACACATACAGATGGAAAAGTAGGTTGCTTGACGAAGTTTACAGAAAGAATGTGAAGGACCACAGCATTTCATTGAATGAGTGCGTGCGCAGGTGTGAGTGCATGCGCGCGCGTGTGTGCGTGTGTGTGTGAGAGAGAGAGAGAGAGAGAGAGAGAGAGAGAGAGAGAGAGAGAGAGAGAGAGAGAGAGAGAGAGAGAGAGAGAGAGAGACAGACAGACAGAGAAAGCTACACAATCCAACTCACGGTATCTCGCCATCTAAACTCTCGGATTGCTGCGTCTGGCATGAGTAAAGAGCAATGACTCTACGTCGGCGCGCAACTTCCTACAGGCATACCGCAGCACGGCAGAAGAAGAATACAACGCTAGGTGAGAGGATAAGCAAACTATACGGTGGACTGATTGAAAATCCGGTGGAATGAACGGGGTATGTATGGAATGACTCATGGTGTACAGTAGGGGCAACTCGGAACCAAAGAAACAAATTGACCATTTGAATTTTGTGGTACAATTGGAGTGGTAAAATCTTCCCCACATTGTGTGATAGACGATACTAAAACTCAATGAAATTGAATTTTTGAAATGCAAGTCGCAAATTGCCTTCGTGGCTGGAGCATTGTACAGAACTACGAAACAGTGTACACATTGCAGGACTGTAAGCAGACGTTTACAGAACAATGAATGTCGCCTGAATGGCCCATGTACAAATTTGACCATGAGAACTGTCCGCAGGAGCATCCTTTCTCTGACTCCAGTCTGTGTCTGTTGTGGTCGCTATGCACCGATGCGTGTGGTGTGCTGGCAACATTTGTGTGGTGTGTGTACATCCGTGACTAAACAAATGCCATGTTCTGTTCTCAGCCAGCTGCTTTGGACGCCGAGCTAAATGACACTACCATCCGGGAGCGGCATTGGTCGCTTCAATGCTGATCTGGAGCGGCCAAAACACGGAATCACAGTGCTCTCGTAAGGTAGCTACATGCCATGACCTCTCCAGAACAATGGTTGGTACACTGGTGTCCTCCTCTACCTCCGCACTGCAACGCATCCTGCTACCAATGGCCATGACTAAACACCCGGCCAGTGAGAGAGAAGTGACTTGTCGCTGATACAAAAAAAAAAACAATACTATAAACACAGCAGGCTGTTGGAATGCAAAACTCGCATACACAACCACACTGCATTCTCAATCAACCAACCTCTTGCGGAGCCAAGGGATACTGTAGGACTTCATTTTCGAGAAGGCGAGACCTACTCGCGTAGTAGCCGATGAGCTCCTTCAGCGAGTAGAATTGCCTTCCGCCAATGTAATACTGGCCAGCAAAGGTTGTGATTCGGAAATGACTGATTCCAGTTACACCAAGAAATGACAAGGAATATGTCCCGGGCTGTCGATCGCTCTCTCGCACAAGATATGAGCCGGGGTGACCATATCGTCTCAGCCTCTCCTCGGCTGTCTTTCTGTCTAGCCGACCATGGTACCACCTGAAACACGGACAGAAGATGATTCACTTCACCTTACCTGAATTCAATAGTACGCAAAGTACGGCCAAAAAACCAAAGTCACAAATACGCACTCTCGCTCTGGCGGGGCATTGTATTCCGCAGCTCCATCTTCCTCGTCCAGCTCAAATTCCTCATCCTCCTCATAGTGCTCCTCTGCATTCTTGGCCAAGGACCGTTCCAACGTTTCTAAATCATAGTAAATCTTGTTTCCGTCGGTGAAGAACTCGTCTTCACCGTGCGACGCCATGTTCCCAACTGATGCTTGACAGAACACTGGTTTTGCGAAGACAACACTCAAAAGTCAAACACTCTGTTGCATGACAATATTCTGTCCATAACCAGGCGGTTTTCAGCCGATACCGCCCGTTTTCTAAATCGCTTTCAAATGCAGTATTAAAGAGCCTTTGAAAGAAATTCTGGACCGGTTTTTCCTGTTATTTCGGCGCAACTCGTTCAAATCGAAGGATTGAAGCCGATGAAACCCCATCGTTCATGGCGCTGTAAACGGCGTTTGAAACGCACCATTTCAAGGAAGGGATTCCCCCTTTTGGTTGATTTGTGGGCAAAACAAGCAACAAGGCCAAAAACGTGTACTAACTTTACAACTTGCCTGCACAAGGAGGAATCTTGGAAACCGTTGGATACCACTTTTTACCAGTCGGGCTGCACAGGCCTCATTTGTTTTCCCTTCTCTCTGGCTCTGTACGTGCAGGCCTCATTTGTGCAAAATGACCCACCGCTGTGTTGCGCTAGGTGCCATATCGGGATTTCCAAAAGGCTTTGACGACTTGCACGAATTTCGGGAGGGATTTGTTGTTTCGTAGCTTTATATCGTCCTGCTACCTACTGCCGTACTGAGGTCGACTGTTTGACTTGGGCAGGGGGAGTTTGGAGACGGCTGTGTGGGACCGCTGACACAGTGACAGCTTGCAAACTGAGTTTTCTGAATCATTTCCCCAGATTGCCTTCCCATTTGCTTCTCCTTGTCGTGCCCTTTTGGGCCCAAAGCCAAAGGTGTTGTGGGGTCAGAAATAAGAAAGTAGGAAAGCTAAAGGCCACTGCAGGGTCGATTATCTTCTTCGCGTGCAGAGTCTGCGGGAAATGAAGCTGATTGAAAGCTAGCTTCCTCCAAGATGTCCTCGTCTCTAACTCGCTTGTTCAAGAAGAAGGAAGTAATACCCAACAGCAACAGGCATGGGTTTGACGTAGATGACAACAGAGGCCATGCTCAGCCGAACAGCTCAGCTCCCCGAGGTTCTGATGCCAGCATGAGAGGCCTTGGTCAAGGTGAGCCTGCTGCGATATTGATATCAACAGTTTGATTGACTTTATTGATTTGAGGAGGCTTTTGTAAATCTTCATTGAAATGCGTGGCGAGTTCCTAGCCCTGGCTGTGTGCGGTTGACAGATGTGGCTGTGACTTTCAAGGGTAGTCTGTCACTGCGTCCACTGTTCCGATTTCGATTTCGATTGTAGGTGGTCGAAGGTCTGCAGACAAAGAGCCGGCCCAAATCGGCCAAGAGCGCTGTGCTCGTACTGACCTGCAGACCCTCCGAGCAGTGTCATTCACTACGATTGTGTGTTTGCCATGTAGCAGTTGTGTTGAAGGGCGGCGGGGCACTCAATTGAGTTGCGGGCCGTGCTTCCTCAATCGATCCCCAACCAATAGGGAACAGAATTGCTGGCGGAGAACAACGATTGTAGCTCGTGTCCACGGCTGGTTGATGTACTTAGAACTCGTTCAGTTTCGCCCAAATCGTCCTGAACATGCTGCTGCTGCTGCTGCTGGTTATTCACTGACTACTTGACTGAATTGACCACGCACCAAATCACACGAACGGGGACCTTACACTTACTGTCGCAGCACAAGAAGAGAGTTCGCCTCTCTCAACTAAAGCAGTGTGTTTTCTTAGCCTTCGCCAAAGAGGGTGTCATTGTGTCTGGTTTTTAGTCCTCCCAAATGTTTCTCGCTAAACTGCATCAGTGTTTTTATCAAGTTGTCACTGCGCTCACCAGGAGCTAGCCCCCGACTTTATCAGCCGGATTGATAACATCCCTAGTTGGGCATCTCCGTGTCAAGTGACAGGTCTTAGACGTTTAGCCGCGCCTATCTAGACCCGCTTATCCCTGTGCCCTGTTGCTGTCAATGCACACACACACATACACATACACACACACACACACACACACACACACACACACACACACTGAGCGGTCATGAGTAGCATGCTGAGAAAGCTCTCTTTCAAGAACTCGTTTCGCAAGTCGCGCAGCGATGGCAAATCGGCCTCCGACAGCCGCCTGGCCTCGCCAATGCAACGGCCGCAGATTCGGACGCGACTGCGCCGCAAGTCTTCGTCGCCGTCGCCCTCTCCGCCGAGAACACCCGTGTCTTCATCCGATAATGGTATTGAATCTTGAAACCATATCTTATACTGTGGTCCCTCTATAATCCGCCACCATGCTAAGGAAATTCTGCTGGACTAGGGAGTGCGCTGGATTAAAGGGAAACTGAACGCCAAAAATAAGTATGGCTTATCCGAAGGGGAATTGGGCACTGATTCCGATGAGCTATGTCTCGAGCCGATCAGAGAAGAGGAACTGTGTCAAATTCCATAAATAACACCTCCCATATTTGGAAATTGGCCTTGATGACGTGCGTACTGCTTAGCTGTCACCATGCTGTGCATGTTCACCAGTGTAATTGAATGGAAGAAAACAATTACTTTGGTGTTTTGCAGCTCTGTTTCGTTCCCTGACGGTAACCAAATCTAGATGTAGGAATCTGTTGAGCAGGAGAGTGACACATGTCTTCCCAAAGGCTGTCCAGGCTGCAGTGGTGATGAGGAAGACACGATCATCACCCCGAGATCGATCGTAGCGAATTGGAAAACTCATGGTGAATTTGCTTCCACTCCAAGGCAATGTCGAGGTATGAAGGGTGCTTGTACTGCCTTCCAAAGTGAAGAGGAGATGAACATGGCTTTGCATAGCTGTTGTTCTATGCCAACTAACTTACCTACTCTTGCTGGTGCCGTAGTGGCATATTGCAAATTTCGTGGACGAACAACTCTAGTCACTAGTGGCTAGTGAGCAACACTAACAGGTGAGATTTTTCAATTCGACAAAAATTGTTTTTGTTTGAGAACTGACAGTGGCAGTCATTAGACTCAGTAGGTGTCTTTGCTGCTTCTTTCCCTTCATCGGTAGGGTTGTGCTTGAATAGTACAAGTGCTTGAAGTAAAATAAAATAAATAGAACATGTGGAACATAAATCTAATCAAGCATCAGTACATGTATTGCGAAGTTCAACTTCAAAGCACATGAAATCACAATGATCACGAAGTTTATGTAATCAGGAGTACACCCTGTGTTCAACGAACACATACACACATGCTGTATTGCGCACACACATGTACACATGTGCGTGCACCCCCACCCCATCCCACAGACACACGCATGCAGCGCGCACATCCATACACATGTGCGTGTACCCCCCCCCCCCACACACACACACACATTCCTACCCATACACATGTGCGCCCCCCCCCCCCCCCCCCACACACACGTGTGCACATACAGATACACAAACACACACGCACGAACACACACACACAAGATACGTGTAAGTGTACATGGTCTTCCTGGTGCAGATGCTGAGCCAGCACAATGGAAAATACCTCCATCAAGATGCTTGATCAAGTGTTGTGATAATGGCACTGTTTGTTCGTTTTACAAAGAAGTGTGGGAAAGATTACAATGCATTATAATTCATAATTGTTCTTTGCCTTGTACTGTGCAGACCAGAATGCTTCGCTATCAACTCCTGGCTTTCCATCGGCATGGTGTTCAGGTGCAGCGGCATCTGGTCCGGGGAGTTCAAGTTGCTGGATGGCTGCACTGACACAGGATGGGTTTGCGTTGGCAATGCGATACGGCAGTCATCCCACATCACGAGCTACATGTTTATGTAATTTATATTGTCGCTCGTCCAGCAACGTCAAGGCTCTGCATGTAAACACAGGAGAACACCATAATACTACTCAGGGGATAATAATTTTGGATATCAATTTCGTGACAATTATTAGATTCACACAATATTCACAACGTATGCAACACGATGCTGTCTATTGACACTACTTCAAATTGAAGTGCTCACTACTCCTCTCCCGTTTTTATCTCCCTCTACCTTATGAATACTCTGCATTACTGGTTTCATTTCTACCCTTTCCATTGCTGCCAGCTCCCAGTCTTTTTCAATGCACAGCACCACCTTGACAGTCATTTTTGTGATTTGATGTACACATACTTTGAAGTTCAAATTCGAATTACATGATCAGATTTTTGTTCCACATTTTCTATTTATTTTTACTTCAAGCACAACCCTACCGATGAAGGGAAAGAAGCAGCAGAGAGACACGTACTGAGTCTAATGACTGCCACTGTCAGTTCTCAAACAAAAACATTTTTTGTCGAATTGAAAAATCTCACCTGTTAGTGTTGCTCACTAGCCACTAGTGACTAGAGTTGTTCGTCCACGAAATTTGCAATATGCCACTACGGTACCAGCAAGAGTAGGTAAGTTGGCATAGAACAACAGCTATGCAAAGCCATGTTCATCTCCTCTTCACTTTGGAAGGCAGTACAAGCACCATTCATACCTCGACATTGCCTTGGAGTGGAAGCAAATTCACCATGAGTTTTCCAATTCGCTACGATCGATCTCGGGGTGATGATCGTGTCTTCTTCATCACTACTGCAGCCTGGACAGCCTTCGGGAAGACATGTGTCACTCTCCTGCTCAACAGATTCCTACATCTAGATTTGGTTACCGTCAGGGAACGAAACAGAGCTGCAAAACACCAAAGTAATTGTTTTCTTCCATTCAATTACACTGCTGAACATGCACAGCATGGTGACAGCTAAGCAGTACGCACGTCATCAAGGCCAATTTCCAAATATGGGAGGTGTTATTTATGGAATTTGACACAGTTCCTCTTCTCTGATCGGCTCGAGACATAGCTCATCGGAATCAGTGCCCAATTCTCCTTCGGATAAGCCATACTTATTTTTGGCGTTCAGTTTCCCTTTAACAAATCTGATTTTCTGCAGTAAGAATGTTCGTGAAGAGGACATTTTGGCTACTGAATTTTACGCTGGTTTATAGAGGGTGCTGTTTTTTGTAAAGTGCTGCATTAAAGAGGGACGGCTGTAAAATCGTGTACCTCCAATCCCGGTGTGCAGGTCAAACTCCACCTAGTACCTGGAATTGGGCTGAGTGTTGCATCTATTCAGGCAGCACTTTTCACAAGCAAGAACACCCTTCCCGGAATCGCCATTACTAGTAGCTGAGGTTCTCTGGCAGGACGAAGCTTGCCCGCCCCAGGCAAAACCTCGGCCATGTTCTGCAGTAAACCAGTTCAGTATTATAGTACCCTGGATAAAACATACTCTGGATTTGCTGTTCTATGTCAGCTGTTTAACCTCGCATACACAGTACTGTCAAGCGGCTAATTTAAAGCCCGTGATGTTTTTAGCGAAAGGAGTGTTTTCGCTAAAGTCTGGCCCCACCAATCGAAATTTTGCATGTACAGTTCAGTTGTCACTGAACTGTCCACAAACTGTCAAGAGTTCATGGACTCTTGACAGTTGTAGTAACCTTTTTTTACTCTGAAACTCGGGTCTCTAAAATATTTCCTCACGGATTTGTCCTAATTCAGAGTTTACCCGCTAAAATTAGCCGTTCTGCAGTACCTCCTAGTGAAGCAGCGGCGGCGAAGGTCCTACACGGCAAGTTTAAACATAACAACCACGAACTCACAAGCAAGGAAAGTTCCAAGTTCTTTAACCTTTTGTACAACCCTTGCAGGTTTGTTATGCTGGAGTCTTGCTGTATTTCATGTGCCACTGTGTACGACAGTACGGCGTAGTGTGACGTGATCACGTTATCATTGTGTTCTACACGTGTGCAGACTATACATGGAGGGATTTCACGCCGCATTCTTTTCTTTAGAAGTGCGACGCCTTTTCATTAGCCGCTACCACCTGTGCATTGGCAGCGTGCAGTCTGTTTCACAATCAATGCAGATTGGTTGTTCCCTTGTCCACCATGCTGCCTGGGCTAAATTTGTCAATCAAATGTGTGACGGGTCACAAGACCGCACTACCCCTTTGGAAAAAACGTGGATAAAATTTCCAAATCCCGAATTAAAAATTCAACGTGGGAAGGCGATTATTCTGTGGTATTCCCTACAGTACAGTGTATAGTAAATCTGCATTGCATTCTGCGAGCGTTTCACCGTCCTTGTGCAGGATTTGACAGCCTAGCTACGTGGTAGACTGGTGTTTACACGATCGTTCGCAAACTGAGCAGCCTTCGACGGACCTGCGCTAATTACTGAAATGTACTGGAATAGAACACAAAGCTGCAGTGCTTGTCTGCATGGTGATTTCAGTCTTATTTCGACATGGGAACAACCTGACCACGCTGGGACATGGGTGGTTTTAGAAGCGCTGCATCCGCATGCCCCAGGCTTGCATCCGGGGACGTGCCAAATGTGTGGGTAGAAAAAACAAACACTGCTACATACCAAGTCATGCTGTGAGACAGACACTTGAGAATTCCCCCTCCCCCAGAACTACGTGTGGACAAGACAAAATCATGTATGGCATAATAATTCACGAAATACATCAATGTTTGTGTTTGTGTTAGATACCTGAGGTTTGGTGTGTGTGTGTGTGTGTGTGTGCTTGTATCACGTACTGTGGTTTGACAAGCTGTAATCCCTCGACCATTACTGCATTAGTCCTGGTATGAGAGTACTTATCGAATAGTGTTTGCGTGTGTGTCTCTGTGTGTGTGTCTGTGTGTGTGTGTCTCTGTGTCTGTGTGTATGTGTACTATAGGCATCTCAGACGAGTACGCTGACCCGTGGGACATTCGCAACGGCGGCTCGGGAGGCGGAGGCGCAGCACCACCGCACCTGACCCACGGCAATCACGGCGGTGGCGTTACCCCTAGCGCCAACCAGTTTGCGCCGACGTCGTCCAAGCAGCCGCAGGAAGAGTGCTCCTACTCTGCGCCCTTCACCGGCAACTCCATACCGCAATCGCCCAAGATGACTGAGGTCAGTTTTTATTTCACACAGCTGATGCATTTCAGTCTGGCCATGACCGGACCAATTCTTTCACCACCAGTGTTTGTTTACTGCTGAGGAGGCCATGTGTTTACTCTCCGTATCATACACTAATTATGAAAGGCCCTGGTATGGCCGGACCAACCAAAAACTGATTCCGCTGGTCTTGCGATAGAATGTCCTTGTTGCAAACACAATGCGTAGCACCAAGAGTACATAACCCCCCAGAGTGTGCAACTCCACTATGGGTGCTGTCCCGACAGAATTTCAAGTTGACGTCTTTTTCACGATGCAATGCGTACTGTACACGGATTATCAGACGAATCCGGAACCTGTGGTTGACCGAAGCCGATCGATCCTGTACAAATTATTGGAAAGAAAAACGTGTGATGCGTTGACACCCGTACACATGCTGTAAATCACTGGTGCAAGAAGCATTGCGTCATAAATAATGACGTCAACTTGAAATTCTGTCGGGACAGCAGGGTATGTGGGAGTTGCACACTCTGGGGGGTTATGTACTCTTGGTGGCACGAACATCTTACCTTCTCAATGGCCAATGGGACATATGCATTAATTTCCTGCCATTATGTTTTGCGGGGCAAGTCCACTACAACCGTACACACTGTCATACCAACTCTGCATAAAAGATCATGAACTTTGTGAGGTCATACACATAAATGTACTATAACGGGTTGTACCTGCCAAGTACATGTATGGGGTAACTTGCCCAGCAAAAAGGTGACGGCCATCTTAGATGCATAGCTCCCATTCCACTCTTTGCTCAGGTACCTATGGCTTGTTTGTTTTGTCACTGACGGTCTCACTACATGTAGAGTATCACTGGGCTTGAGTCTATTACCCCTACGCTATTCGTAGTGATGGCATGTGCTCGTGCATTGGGGTTGAATTCTTGACCCTGGAAATTCCCAGTTGTGTCAGTATCGTATACGTGGTCCGCGATAAAGTTGTTTCCGTCGTTAGCATCAGTCACTTACCGCTCCATGTGCACATCACCACCATAGCGGGAGCAATTCCGTTGCGCTCCAACAGGGCCAGCACGTGCACAGCAGTAGATAATGAATATTGCAAGGTGAAATAAATGATGTTCTACAGGGCAACATGTGCGCAACTGCACACTAGCGCTAGCAAAGCGGCAGCTGTGGGGTCTGCGACGGCAGACCTTCACATCACGTGATAAACCCGTGATAAACAGTATTCACACCTTGTGCATGATAGATCATAGATGTGTGTACATGGCTGTGCGCAGCCCTGCTTGCGGGGGATAGTGCTCTCTGATGCGAGCGTATCTGTGTGTGTGTGTGTGTGTGTGTGTGTGTATGTGTGTGCGGCTGCATATGTGTTGGTGTATGCGTGTGTTTAGACTCAGTACAAGAAGACGATGAACGACGACTACCAGGACCCGTTTGACGCTCGCCTGCGCAAGGGCACCACCGCCTCTCTCACTGGCAGCACGGGCGGTGGTGGTGGCAGTGGCTTGCACCCTGTGACCAGCAACACGGACCAGCACCGCGGCCCGCCGTCGCACCATCACCATCACCACCACAGCTCGCGCGGCGGTGGCAGCAGCTCCAACAACATGTCGGTACGCGGAGTCGGACAGGGGACAGCATCGGCCTGCGAGTACGACACGCCCGTCGACTCGCGGACGCGTCGCGGCACCGGCACCATGACGACCGGCGGTGGTAACCACAGCAACAGTCACCTGGACAACTACAGCCTGCCCGCCGACACTCTGCGCGCTGGGGCTGGTGGTGGTGTGGCAGCGGCGCCGCCCAGCATGTCTGATCACGGCAAGAACAACGCGTCGTCAACATATTCCATGCCACGTGACACCATCCGCCAGCATCCCAGCGACATATCCGTGCAGGTCGGTGCTATGCCCATGGTGCAACAACAGCAGCAGCAGCAACAGCACCCGTCTCCGCACTGCGACTACAGCAACCCGGCCGACCACATTGGCGACATACACCGCAACGGGTCGCCGTCACGTGGCCGCTACATGGAGTACCGCGGGTCGGAAGCGTCCGCTCCCACGGTTACTCCTACAACAGTACCCACCGGTCACTCGGTGCGTGCGTTCAGCGATAGTTCCAGTCAGTCCAGCGTGACATCGGTTGCTTCTGCTGCGCATAGCCGACAACCCGACACGATGCGCGGGCCGCCCGACTTGCCTGACAATTACCCGCCGGTGAACAGCCAGAGAGAGTCGCTGCGATCCTTCCAGTAAGGCCGCCCTTCTGTGTGCTTGTGTGTGTGTGTGTGTGTGTGTGTGTGTGTGTGTGTGTGTGTGTGTGTGTGTGTGTGTGTGTGTGTGTGTGAAACACAACACGTACACACTCGCCTTGGCGTTGTGAGTTATGGACCAATAATTGAACGTACTATTACCGTAAAATCCCGCCAGAGCGCCCCGTCTCTCCCATCGGCCCCTCCCTGACTTCTGGTCAGGGACGTGATTGATTGTATCCTTGTCTGACTCTGTCGCAGTCTGTGATGCCCTACTGTACTGCAGACGCGTGCTTGACCCCGTTGGAAATGTACGCAACAGTGCCCACCCTCTTGACCAGGGATCGCACAAACCCTGCGTTTTGTCAGGTCTGTGCGACTCCTGGCTCTTGACATTTGGTCAATGTACGAGATGCACGAACAGTTTTCGTAGGGTGAGTACTTTTTCATGAAGCACTGAATGCGGCAAGTAGGACTCGCCCATCCGCCCCTCCCCACCTGAAGCGTCGAGGAGGTAGGGGCGCGCTGGCGGGATTTTACGGTATATCACTCCATTATCACTGCTGTCCAGAAAGAATTTCAAGTTTACGTCATTTTTTTGCGATATTTACGGACGGCCCTATAGATGAAAATGGAGTAACGTGAAATTCTTTCGGGACAGCAGTGATAATGGAGTGATATAATAGACACCCTTAGCAAAAAAACGTTATGTTGTAACGGTATTACCGTAAGGGGGGAAAATACCGTGATTTGGGTTCAACCTTTAGCAAGATGCACGCTATTTTTAGTACGCTGTTGCCACGAGAATAGCTTTTATTTCGCGCGGTACAACCATTTATGTCACCATATACGCGATACAAGGTGAAATGTGTACGGACTATGCAATCTTTCACCCAAAAACGTACCATTTTGTCACAACGATAAATCAGCCCCCATAACGTTTTTACGCTGCAGCTTCAACGCTATTTGGGTAATCAAGGTACAAGTACCGTAAAAAATAGTGTTACCGTTTTTTGCTAGGGGTGTCTATTATAGTGGAGTTGCACCCCCCCCCCCCCCCCCCCCGGGGGCATGTACTCTTGGTTGTACTCAAAGCAGGGTTTGCGTACAACCCTGTAGCTATGATGCACAGGGTACTAGGGTGCAGATAGTGTGTACGCACTATTGCGCACGGGTCCAGCCACAAGGCGTGAACTTCAGCCGGCGCAGACCCCAAAGATGGACTGGGGGGGGGGGGGGGGTTGCACACTCTTGCCCCTGGGTACTATGTACTCTTCATAGTACGGATGTACACTCGACCTAACCATAAATGTGTGTGTGACCAAGAGTACATAACCCCCCAGAGTGTGCAACGCGTGCAGTCCGCCGTCCGATAACTCGTGGGCTATGCTGAAAGATTTCGAAATCAAGAGCCCAAATCAGTGCATTTGATTGAATCACAGAGAAAATCCCCATTTTATCCTGTTCAAATAAGTTCAAGGAAACGCGTGTGATGCGTTCACACCTCACTCAAGCATCGTAAATCACTCGTGCGCGTGGAGCATTGCATCATAAGAATGACGTCAACTTGACCTGGCACGAGGGAAACATGGGTGGGCTGATCCACTCACCTCCCACCGCTTTAGGTGCTGCATCTGCACCTTAGATGTTTGCAGGGTGGTGGCGTTTCTATGGATACTGAAAACTCAGTCCAGCTGAGTTTCGAGGGAAGCGTGAAATTAATTTTTTTTCCACTTGTGCATTTCTCAAAGTGCGAACACTCCGCTGTAGCCATCCACCATATCCATACATCTTCACAACACTCTCACAACGGTCTCTGGACTACACCAATCACTAACAGAAAAAGAGATACTAGAGAGGTTCCGGGGTACGATTTTCCGTGCCAAAATCCGTGTGGGCGCTACGGATTTTTTCCAGGCGTGCTCCATACGATTTTTCGGCACGGAGAATCCGTGTGGACTGGCTTTCATACGAACCATGTTTCGTATGGAGATTTTGCGTCATCGGGTGCAGAAAGATTTTTCGCGTACAAATTTGGTGCGAGAAACATCGATTTTCCGCGGGAAGTTTTGATTTCGGTACAAATTTTCAAAATAAAAAGGCGTAGCGCGGGAATGTGACGTGATTGCGATCGTAACCTAGGCAATGACGGCAAACACATAAGTTCCGTACTGCGGAACATTTCACTGCTCGAAAACGACGTATAAAAAATCCGTAGCGCCTGTACGGATTTTGGCACAAAAAATCGTACTCCGGAACCTCCCTACTGTAAGTGTACAAATTTTCTGCCTCCCAGGGCTAAAACACATTCGACTGCAACAAATGTTTTCGCCCTGTACTGCCAAAACATGACCAGGCCGAAAATAGCCGAAAATAAATATGCGCCGAATATTTGTTGACTTACAGTAACCATTTGAATTTTCATGCAAAGCCGCCTATCTTCTCTCTCCCTCTCTCTCTCTCTTTCGCGTGTGCTTTTGTCTGATTTTGTCCTCGCTTTCCGTTCTCTTGTTGTATGTGTTCAGCTGGTTCCATGGTGGTATCACACGTGACCGTGCAGAGATGCTTCTGCGCGCCGTTCCCGACTGCAGCTTCCTGGTTCGCGTCAGCGAGAGCTCACCGAACGACTACTCGCTCTCTGTCAGGTATGGCGTGGCCTGCACGGTAGCTTCTTATGCGTCTTTTTCATTGTTTTTTTTTTGGGTGTTGAATGGGGTCAGGTACTCTTAGCCATGTACGTGTGCTTCAGTAGCAGATGCTAGAAACTGCTCGCTCACTCTCTTTCTTTCTCTGTCTCTCTCTCTCTCTCGCAAGCCAATAATAGTAAACTGGAAATTGTAATTCCTTTCTCCAGACGTCGACGAAAAGCTTTGAAGTAATGAATACTGTAGTACTCGCCGGCTAAAGTTCTGCCTGTACAGTGATTGGAAGTCATCTCGTAATGGCCTAAACGCTCCTCCAATCTCGTGTTACCCAGTGCAAGTAGAGTGTAGGATAAACACACTGAAACTGCTCGCGTGTACCGATGTTGTCTGATTCTCTGCAGTAGTACATGTATGCGTATGTCCACGCGCACACGTGTACAAACCAAACACGCCGACGTTTGTCACAGATGCAAAGAAATTGAAGCGATTCAACTTTGATCCGTAACTCCATGGGATTTCGAAAACTACCGATTTCTTTTTTGAAAACCCCAAACGGCCTACGCTGGACGACAGCCACCAGTTTCTTGCCAGCCAACAGTTTGTTGTTTTGCTTGTACAGGTGTACAGTGTGCCCTGGTTACTATGACAACATAGGTTACAAGACAAGCCCTCATTAGTAGACAACGATCCAGACTCCCCCTGGCGCCTGAAACACGCACATCCAAGTCCGGGTAGTAGATATACATTCGTTATAAGACAACAACAAAAGTCAAACCCCGCGGCTGTCTACTAACGATGGTAGACCTGTACATTGTAGTCGGTGGTCATGTGACGTGTGGCTGGTCTCTTAGACTCTCTGTCTGCCTGTCTCTCTCTCTCTCTCTCTCTCTCTCTCTCTCTCTCTCTCTCTCTCTCTCTCTCTCTCTCTCTGCCTTTGCACTGCTCTGCTGACAGGAATTCCGGCCACCCGCTGCACCTGAAGATAATCCGCCGATCGGACGGTACGTTTGTGCTGGGCCAGAATAGCAAGCCCTTCCAGAGTATCATTGACATGATCCAGTACTACGAGCGGCACAAGCTGCTCATCAAGGGCGCCGAGCACATCTTCCTCGAGTACGTCATACCGCGACACTAGCGCGTGAGTGCGTGTAGATGTGCCGTGCCAAGTGCACGCGCGCGGTATCGAGGCGGCGATGTTCGCTCGCGTGCTACCGTGTGCGCAGTTGTGACTTGGGCGGTGGAGGCGGCAGCTCGGCTGTGGGAGCCGGCATGTACTGAACTCACTTCCCCATTGTGCTTTGCACTTCTGGCAATGAGTACTGCTTGCCGAATTGAGGTGACGTTTGTTACATGGACAGAGGGTTCTTGGCGTCAAACACACGCCCGTTCTTTATATGAAACTTGAAAATTTATGATCCGTACTATTTTTTTTGGAAGCCCCAACCCTTTTTTCTGTTGGTCGTTTTTTCATCTGTCTGGGCCTCAGCGCTAACTTACCATGACGTTGTGACTAAAACTATAATCTCCCCTGTTAACACATTTAATACAGACCATGCAGAAGTAAATTATTGATAACTGTCCCTCGTCCCTGAACGCCGCTTTGCACGCGCACTCTATACTTTCTTTTCCTGTTGAGTGCTTGGCGTCGGTTTTTTTTTCCAGCGACGTCAAAGTGTACACCAAATGTAGACGCATCTTACTCAACGTCTCTTGCTCATTTGCCTTCCATCCCCGCACTAGCAGAACGTCTCTTGCTCATTTGCCTTCCATCCCCGCACTAGCAGTCGCTGTGCTAGTAATCTAGAACCCCTCTCGACAGTGGTTTCACGTCCGTCGTCTGCGTGGCCCGTTTTCTTTCTCCACTTCTCTTAGCCTTGCCGCCGGCCTGTGTATAGGTATGTGAGGTTGTGGACGTGTGTGTGTGTGTGCGTGTATGTGTGCGTGTGTGTGTGGTGTGTGCGTGGCTTTGAGTTCTGCATCTACTTGATCTGTGCGGGTACTATCGCTTTACCCTCCGAGCTCCGTGACGTGCCGAAATTCCTGTTGCTTTCTATTGATCATATCTTGTGGGTTTTGATATAGTTCTGCCCGCTCTATATATATATATATTGTATATTTTAGTGTTGCCACGCGTCAATACTGCCTCCATTACTCCGTGATCAGCTCTTCCCCTGCGGGACTTTGTCCAGTCGCAATCCCAATTATGATCTCTTGGAATATTTTCTAAAAAACTTTTTTACTTAGACCGCATTTTTGCTCAACTTCTCCTCTTTGGCTTCTTTTTACACGCACTCGTGCCGCTCTTAACTTCTAGTACATATTGGCGTATTGAACATTGCACAGTTTTCATTGTACACTATAATTGTATTACCTTTTCTTGTAGTGTGAGTTTCATCGTCAACGGCTAGCTGTGCCGTCTGTACGTCCCCGTCTGTCGTATGCGTGAGCTTGATGGTTATCTTTCCAAGAGGTCTGGTCCTCTCCATGGTGTGTATGTGCCGTTCGTGTTGCGCATCGATTGGCAAAATGTGTGTGTGTGCTGTGTGTGTGTGACTGTGCATGTACGTGATTGTATGAGTATTATCAAGAGCAGTTGCACACTCTTGTATTGGGGGTGATGTACTCTTGGTATTATGCAATGGATGGCACTGGCATGCAGAGTGGCTCATGCAACATAGACGTACAGTCTGTCCCCCGTGAATTCCGCGAATTGCAGAATTTCTGTAGAATCAATAGTGCCCGCAGAATTATGAAAATCCCGCGGAATATTGCAGAAAAGAGAGAAAACTGCTTTTTCTGGAGACTTTCGATGTATTTTCACAGCCAAACCAATCTGTTGTGACTTTCAAACAGCAGTATGTTATTCTGGAGCCTTCAATATTTTTTGGACCAGGATTTCGCATAAGTTTGGTTCAGGATTTATAGGGACAACAAACTCCGGTGGGGTTACGGAAATTTCATCTGTTTTACGCTCATTATCCTTGCAGAATATAGGATTTGCAGAATTAGCGCAGAATTTACCGTTTTCAGCCGCAGAATTCTGCACGGAATTTCTGATATTCTGCCGTGGAATTCACGGGGGACAGCGTACTCGAACACACATACTGTATGTATGCACAACATAAATATGCTGTAAATCAGTTACCAGATATTTTCTTCCGGATGGTGAGGGATCCGGATAAACGAGGTCTGACTGTAGGACTATGGTAAATTAAAACATTGATTACCGATTTGCATGCTTTGCTTGATAGGGTTTGGCTGTGCTCTTAGAAACAGTCCGTACTGGATCATACCAAGAGTACACAACTCCCAGGTCATGTACTCTTGATCATACTTACTAGTATGTATTTCAAAGACAGTCTCCAGAAAACCAACACCGCCGCTCTTATCTTCAGCGAACGGCGGCGTTGGTTTTCTAAATTAGCCTGGTGGCGTTCTTAGCATCAGGCTGGACGTTCTTGGGCTCCACATTCTTTAGCGGGACTCTACTGTATGGAGACCCTGCCTAATTTCAATCAAATAATAATTGTCATCAAGACAACGGTATGAAATTCAACATTGCTGCCGGGACATCTCAAAATGCAACCTACAATAATTATTATTATTGTACAAGTGAATACGCCGTTCACTTGAATTTCTGCTTGGGTAGGAATGCATGTGGGATTTGGCACATCCTTGATGTATTCAGGACCTACAAGCGAACCAACTCAACTAGCATAACCCATAAGCTCTTGGAAGTAAGTTGGCACAAGTCTAAACCCACGCGCAAACAGTACGCAATCTCGCCATAATCTGGACTTGCATCAAGTAAGGGCAGGTGGGGTTAGACAATGCAAATAGTGCAGCCACCACCTACCCACACACTAGCTACAAGAGGAGCAGGACCTTCACATAATTTATCGTATTTACAGGACTAATACGGAAGAACAGGTTGATGAAACTGCTAACACCGTCATGGTCGAACCAGCATGACTGAAGTTATAAACGAATGCAGAAAGGAAGCGAATGAAAAATTTCATATCTTGCAGCAGGAGGAGAAAAGCCAGGACGCGTCATAAATACACACAGCATTCAAACAATGGCATTACATTAGTATGTATACACCTAGAGAGCGATAGGCCGAGACCACGCATGAGTGAAAATTTGAAAAAAAGACGACAAGGACTCGGGAACACACACGCGCGCACCACGGATAAATGCCGTGAAATTAGGCAGTGAAGGATGCCATGAAGTCGGAGACGACCTTCTTCAGCTGCTTGTCGAGGTCGTCAGTGAGCTGACCCTGCTCGCGGATGTTGTTGAGCAATTCCTGGTGAGTTGAGCGGATGTGCTTCATGTAAGCCTCCTCGAAAGCAGTGACCTTCGTAGCACAAGTGCAACACGACACAGAAAGAGTTATATCACATCACACAGCGAAGAGGATATACAAGAGTAGAGCCTAGGCCAGTGCAGATTTTAATGCAAATTCGGGCATAGTGAGCAGGATCTTGAATTCACACCAAAAATGCGCGAGAAGGTACTAAAAATGAACATTCGGATAGTGTGACTGTCTGCAGGCACAGATAGAACACAAGCACCTAAAGGATCAGTGAGGTAAAGTTTCGATCCTAGCCGAGGCATCAGGTGAAACACGGAAATCACATCATCTCCAACAAGATACTCAAGAGTTTCAAGGAAAAGCGTCTAATCCATAGAAACCTCTCATCACACTCCCATAGCCCCTGTCGGCCAACACTCAGCTGGAGAATAAAGCAGACCAGGTGTAGACTTGACAGGCAACAAACATACCTTGCTTGGGTCCAACTTGTCGAGGTATCCACGGACACCGGCGTAGATGACTGCGACTTGCTCCTCAATAGCCATGGGCACTGCAAACAGCATAGCACAAACAAAAGCGGCTCTCAGTACTGAAAACGTCTAATCCTTTGCGACCTCGTCTATGTGTATACAATGGCACTACAAAAAATACAACTACGGTGCATGTTTACCGGGGGGGGGGGGGTTATCCCGTAGAAGTTGTCAACGCAGCAAAACTGAAGTTCGATGGTCATTGTTCCATGATGTCCTTCATACTGAAGTCAATTTGCTAGCACTCTCAGACGCACATCCACCGGTGCTTGAAAATCGCTGACTGAGAGTGGCATAAGTTTGACGGCTGACTGCACACTTGGAATGAGGGGTCCACATGGCGAAACACCCTGTTCAAGAAGCGGCCTGTGTAGTATAGCCAGTAGAAACAACTATAGTGAAGGACGGGCACATGTTGAAAAGGATCAGTGAGGTAAGGTTTCGATCCTAGCCAAGGCATCAGGTGAAACACGGAAATCACATCATCTCCAGAACTGACAAGAGACAGATGCCTATGTAAGTACAATAAAACGTGTCAAGGCGACCCCTGTCCCAGAAGACACTGCAACCAGGACAAAGGGATGCTATTTCCAGCCAAATGACCCCGGATAAGGAGACCGCGTTTTGAAGGTCCCTTGACTTGAGCGGGCGTCTTAGACAGGTTTTACTATACGCAGCTAAATGACAGACAGCATGCAACTCACCATACTGTCCCTGCTTGAGGAGCTCGGTGAGACGGACACCACGGTTGAGCAGCTGCTGTGTGGCGGCATCGAGATCGGAACCGAACTGGGCGAAAGCGGCGACCTCACGGTACTGGGCCAACTCAAGCTTCATGGAACCGGCAACCTGCACAGATGAAGAACGTCATGACACACATGATAGTTGCAAACTTTATTGTACTTGTAGCATAAGATGCAGCATACCTGTAGAAGGAAAGCAACTCAAAAGAATTACCCCACACCGAGAAACGGGCACAGATGTCACATGGGATCAGTGAGGTAAAGTTTCGATCCTAGCCGAAGCATCAGGTGAAACACGGAAATCACATCATATCCAAGCACGCAGGACTATCCGATCAAGTTCACAATTACAGCGGCGGGCACGTGTGATAGGAAAGTGCTATCTAGCAACAGCAAAGCATAGCTGTAGGATTGCATACCTGCTTCATTCCCTTGATCTGGGCAGCAGATCCTACACGGGACACGGAGAGACCGACGTTGATGGCAGGTCGGATACCCTTGTAGAACAACTCAGTCTCCAAGAAGATCTGACCGTCAGTGATGGAGATGACGTTGGTTGGGATGTACTAAAGCAACACAGGAGAGAAGAAACACACCAGGAACAGGGATTGCAACTAGGGTGTAAACACTGCTGGATATCCCACGAGTGTGAAATCCCTATAAGATCACCACATAACACATCATTTCCGGCACATAGAACAGACGCCTGATTTGTTTCGTCTGTATCAAAAGTCACTTCACTTGAGTATGCACCATATTCGAAGGGAGCTAATGGTCAACTACTTCAAAACTACAACTGAAATCCAGACTTCCCAAGCCGTCACTACAGAATATATCAGCAGGTTCGTGTTGAAGTGTATCAGCGGGATGGTGAGCAGACAGCTACACGTACGTCCTGGCTTAGCGGAAACACGGACAAATTCCGCCAATGCTGTATGCGCTCCGCCGAAAACAGGTCAATATGCAAGGGGTATCTACCATTGGTAGTGTATGTTGTAGTGTATGTTATCATGCACATACCGTAAAGTCTTGTATAAAAGCCGCACTTGAATAGAAGCCGCAATTTTGGGCCCATCAAATCACACATAAGCCTGGTTTTAGTGTTGACATACATAGAAATACCTGTCTTGTATAGAAGCCTGCGAAATTTCACCAAGAAAGTCATGGAAGCCGCCCCTTGCCGCGGCTTTTATACAAGACTTTACGGTATACAAAATAAGTCGTAAGTACTCGTGGAAATAAACAACTTTTCAGTTCGTTGCGATTCACGAGGTGCAGATTTCCGTCCAATTGGGTTGAGAACGACGTCAAGGACTGACATGAACGTAACTACATGGATCCCAATGTAGGCATTGTGTGCGCATGTGTGTGTGGGCCAACATGGCCAGTATTCCTTGCAAGGCAAAAAGGCAAGATAAGAGCACTTACAGCGGACACATCACCAGCCTGGGTCTCGATGACGGGCAGAGCGGTGAGGGAACCACCGCCGTTGGCCTCGCTCATCTTGGCGGCACGCTCAAGGAGACGCGAGTGAAGGTAGAACACATCACCGGGGTAGGCCTCACGACCCGGGGGACGACGCAGCAGCAGAGACATCTGACGGTAGGCAACAGCCTGCAAGAAGTTCACAAACACGCACACAGCATTGATAAGCTGGAGAAAAAACACTGCAACTGGCGAACGGATTACTGTTTAAACGTGTAAACACGAGCCCATTCAATCCATTCAAACAACACACGGGCGCTGAGAAACGGGTAGATGTCACATGGGGTCAGTGAGGTAAGGTTTCGATCCTAGCCGAAGCATCAGGTGAAACACGGAAATCACATCATGTCCAAGCACGGAGGACTGTCCAATCAAGTTGCACAAGGACGGGACACAACCTAAACAGGAGAAAGCCAGCTCTGGGTTTAAAAGCATGGCATAACATCGGTCCAGGGACACCAAGGGGTGTCGTGCCAGCGAGCATACCTGCTTGGACAGATCGTCGTAGATGATAAGAGCGTGCTTGCCGTTGTCACGGAAGAACTCTCCCATGGCACAGCCGGAGTAGGGGGCCAAGAACTGCAGGGGAGCAGCATCGGAAGCTGTGGCGCTCACAATGACGGAGTACTTGAGTGCGTCTGCAAGAACAAACAACGAACACAGAGTTAGAACTAGACCTGAAGCTAAATGTGCCGTACAAACAAGACCATCATAAATTTTCAGTAAAAGCGGGCCGTGTGCTGTATTGCCAGCAGGAACAACTATCGTAAAGGACGGGTACAAAGGATCAGTGAGGTAAGGTTTCGATCCTAGCCAAGGCATCAGGTGAAACACGGAAATCACATCATCTCCAGAACTGACAACAGGCCGATGTCAATGTAAGTGTGCAGCTAAATGACTAACGATAATACTAGCCAAGAAAGCAGGGGAGATGGGGAAAGATAGCTAAGAGGATCGGGAGGGATGGAACAAAAGGGGGGAAAGAGACCAGACGTAGAAAGAGAGCCAGGTAGAGGTGAGAGATATGAGAACAGTTGGAGGAACTTACCAGAGTCTCGGAGACGCTTGACAAGCTGGGCAACGGTACTTCTCTTCTGGCCGACGGCGACGTAGATGCAGTAGAGCTTCTTCTTCTCGTCGGTGGCTTCGTTGAAGCGCTTCTGGTTGAGGATGGTGTCGACGGCAACGGCGGTCTTACTGTAATGACAGGAAACAGAGCACAGGTACAAGCAAGTGAGTTTGCAGTCGCATACAGTGAGTAACTGCACATGATGGGGATCATCTACAGCATGGAAGAGGTACCATTTTTCTGTGCATTTTGTGCGCAATCATAGCCAACTCGCTTCAAAATTGGGACACATATTTCTTTCATAAGGCGAGACCAAAAAAAATAGAGCGGCCTGTGTAGCATAGCCAGTAGAAACAACTATAGTGAAGGACGGGTATATGTTGAAAGGGATCAGTGAGGTAAGGTTTCGATCCTAGCCAAGGCATCAGGTGAAACACGGAAATCACATCATCTCCAGAACTGACAACAATACAATGGTCAAGCAGCCCCCCCCCCCCCCACATATGTGTTATGTAGCTCCATGGCCGGGGCGGCCATAAAGGTTTCCTTGTCGGTAAAATTACAGACTGCGAGTAGATGATCACATGCAATATAACACTTAGAAAAAGCAGGGGATGCTCAGCTACAACTAAGAATGAGCAAGAACAGACACACGTGCATGCTATGATCTACCAAGCCGCCGCACAACACTCAATCAGTGTACAAAAAGGAGATGCGCAGCACACACAGCCACAGAGTAAAACTATCCAGCAGCAAGCAGGAACGTACCCAGTCTGACGATCACCAATGATCAACTCACGCTGACCACGGCCGATGGGCACCAGGCTGTCGACGGCCTTGATACCGCTCTGCATGGGCTCCTTGACGGAGGTACGGGGGATGATACCGGGGGCCTTGACACCAACACGGCTACGCTTGGCGCTCTTGATGGGGCCCTGCATGTGCAACAGCCACACCAGACAAAACAAGGAGAGGGGAGAATGCATGTGAGTGGAGATAGCAGTAAGGGACATCAAGCACATAAAGCCCAGCAGCTATTATCTCCCACTGTATTGTGCTGATCGCATTGTGCCAAAGGCTCAAGCTGTCAAGGACATATTCTTGTAGGATTCACAAGGGCGTTGGAAGGTATTCTACATTGGTGCGGCTATGAAAAAGTATGTGTTTTGGTGTGGGAGGGGGATTGGGCCCAAAAAAGCCCATATTTTATTGCTTCAAAAATCAAAAAATAACATTACCGACGGGGCTTTGGCCACACTGGTTCCAACGGCCCTGGCTCAACACAATCATCCACACACAAAGTGGGGGACATGACTGACCTGACCATCGATGGGGTTTCCCAAAGCATCAACGACACGTCCGAGAAGCTCCTCGCCGACGGGGACATCGACAATGGCACCGGTACGGCGAACAATGTCACCCTCCTTGATGGCCTTGTCGTTACCGAACACGACAACACCAACGTTGTCGGGCTCCAAGTTGAGTGCCATGCCCTACGTGTATAGACAAGTAGCAAACATGTACTGTAAATCAACATATATTCGGCGCAATTTATTTTCGGCTCGGGCATATTTGGCCAAAAATGAGTTGGGGCCAAAAAATTTCTTTTGCAACGTCCAGTATGATAGTGTATACAGGCTGCAGCAGAACAGGCCAAAAGTTTACTGTAATGTGGCCGATAGCTCAGCTTTTAGCCCCGGGATGCCGAAATTCAGTAGTAGATGTACAGTATGTAGAGGACGGGTTAGCAATGAAACTAGGCTTGTGTTTTTTGGCTCTGCCCTCGTGGCATCAAGCACTTTTTGCAAGGGTCGTCCTTAACCCTTTAAGAGCCACAGGAAAATTTCAAAATTCTGCATTTTTTCGTGTTCCTTGGACCATAGCTTCAGTTCTACTCACTCAATCCTCACAATCTAGGGCTTCCTGGAAAGGTCTCCGCGAGAGGAAGAGAATGAGGTTGATCATGATAGCCAGCACACCGTCTATCCAGCGCTAGATCGCAGCGACAGTACGAAAAATGCCCCAAATGCGTCCAATTGCGTCCCGCTCCAGATATTTCATTTTACTCGATCGTGGAGTTCCAATTTTTTCGCTGTGTACTCTTGACAATATCAACAGTGAAACCCGTGCAAATTCGAGTAAACCAGCGTGACGAAAAGTCTCAAAATTCTCAATACTAAAGTCGCACTGCGCGCTTTTGAAATTGCCGCGATCGCAGCTCAACTTACGAGTGATTTATCTCAGGAACCGTTGCTCGCAGCGCTTCGCGGATTGTTTCTCCCGACAGGTGAGAGTTTTCTCTTCGCCCTGGATATTTCGATCACTGAATTTGAGCAAGATTGGACTGAGTTACGATCTTTTGAAGTTTTGCATTTGAATGCGTCGTTTACGACGCATTCAAGTATGGGGCGGCTCTTAAAGGGTTAAATATCGAACTTTTTTCTCCGAACGAATTATTTTAGTTTAGACGCAACCCCTCCCTCCCTCCCCTCAGAACGTAACAATTGTTGACATACATGCATATACAACAAAAAGTCGCAAGTGTGTCACTGCTCCTATGGGCATGTACATGTATCGAACTTTTCTGAAACGAAATTGTTCAACCCGCTCCCACCCCATAACGAAATTATTTCGTTTCGTGAAAAAAGCTAGATACTAGTAATTATGGACGACCCCTTAGCAACATAGCTTGTGCATATAGAGCACATAATTATTGATCTGGATGACTACTTCGTTGTGCTGCACGGTTACACAACGCAATAGCCCAGCCCCATAAAGCACCCTGCGGTGGACTTTTACGCTAAGGTTCTATACCAATCTCTACCATGCACTCCGCGTGCGTACTTGTTCACGTATTGTGCATGCTCCAAGGAAGATATACACCACTATGACCCTGGATGCACGGATATGAAACCTTGTGAATGATCCTACTTTTACACACCGCAGAAGCAAGAAGATGTGGGCCACCGACCTCATAACAGAATGCTCGGAAAGTAAGAGTTGCCATACGTTGTACCTAGCAACCAATGCAACGGTTTACGAGCATGTGCCCTAACACTCTCTAGCCAGGCATGTGTTATTTGGAAGTGAAGCTGATAATGCTTTGTTGCAAGGTCATGGATACAGAAAATTCCGCTAATTTGATACATAAACAATTTTATAATAGAGGCATTATTATCACCACGAGTGACTGGGTAAATCAAAATAACGTGATCCTACCAGTATGTTCTAATGAGACATGGCACTGGTCAGAACAAACTCAAACAGACGAAGTTACCTTCAGTCCGGAGTCGAACTCCACCATCTCTTCGGCCTGGATGTTCTGGAGGCCATAGACACGGGCAATACCGTCACCAATGCTCAGCACACGGCCGGTCTCAGCCAAATCAGCCTTTGTGCTTTGGCCAAGGATGCGCTGTTCCAACAGCTTGGAGACCTCGGATGCGCCTGCATTATAGGCACACCATGCGCACCGCCAAGCGAACACCACTTACGATACTTTCATGGCTTACTAGGTGGATTCCCGTCAAGAGGTATTGAATGTTCGGGGTGGATGGTCATGGTCCCCAAAATTCGTGGATATGCACCAAATTTTCAAAAAAAAATATCGGGGAAAGGTTTCCCAGAAGGTAGACGAACTTCATTTCACTGCGTGGGAAGTGATGATGTTCTGTGCATCACTTACCAATAGAAGCACGAGTAGAGCTTCCAGTAGAGAAGCATCGTGCGGCCGTTGCAGCGCGAGGAGTTGTGCGCAAAAGCTGAGACAGGTAAACGCACAGAGACACCGCCTTACTCTCAAACATGCCATTCCAAGGCGAATGTAGAGACGAATCCTCTCAGCTTCCACGGATACTTCTAAACTACTACAAGACGCTCTCTAACACCGATATACTTACCGCACGGCTCTGGCGAACCAGAGTTCGGCTCGAAATTCCCCTCGCCAACGACATGATCGCAGCTTTCTCGTCTTGCTCAAAAGCAACAGCCAAGAAATCTATGCATCGACTCGACACAGTCCGTGTGTCCGTGTTGCGCCTGCGCATCGGCCCACGGCATGGCGCGTAGTAACCAAGGGATACCAGCGCCACGCGCGAGCACGCGTGATCTCGTGTCGCTTTTGACAGCAAAGAAATTAGTTCGTGAAGAAGATGAAGAACGGGACGTCGTGTTACTTCTCTGTGACTGCTATGCAGGATCTCTTGTTTATGGAGGACTAATGGTTTTCTTGAATTTCTTCTGAACGTTGTCTGTAGACGATCCTTACGTTTGAAAGAATTTTCTTATGCAAAAGTGTAGTCGATAAATCGACAAGTAGAAACAAAATAACTGTCAGCATTCAGTAATCCCTTGGGTCTTTGCTGCTGCTGACAACGACGACAACTATACAACGTGAGCCTGTTATCAGTAAAACACTGGATATTGTCGCAGTACATGCTCTGTACGGGCCAGTAGTGGTCGTGCACGGAGAGTGCGTGCTGTACTGTTAGAGTTTCCAGTGCTGTGCTCTATACTGTCAAGAAAAGCTGATGGGGTTCACTTTTCAAAATGGCTACCCTGCCTGAACTGGATAGTACGCTGTCCATGATCGCCACTGTTTTCCCTTCATGGGAGAATTTTCACGGACATGGGATGTGGATCAACGGCCAGTACATGTATCGTGTGGATGTTTGTTTGGGCAAACAGTTGAACACATAAATACACATTGCATTCATTTCCCCACAGCTAAGAGCAATGAGACACAGTCACGTACGCGTATTGCTAGTACTTTCACCCTTTACAGGTAGTGTCTGTACCGTCTAATGCCAGTAATGGTGAGCACATAGGTCGCATGGAACTTGGAAGACGTGTGCAGATCCATATGTTGCACTGCGTTCAACTAGCAGTGTGTTGTGCTAGCCCCCCCCCCCCCCCCACACACACAACAGTAGATCTACGCCAGTGATACACGTCTAACTAGTACTAGTACTAGTCACCCAGCACCTACTACAGTAGATTTTAACCTCGCACTCAAACTAGTCAAGACATCCGTTTTCGTTGATTTAAATGGTGGCAAACACACACCTGGCAATATGGCAGTAAATGCACGCTCTCTAGGCTGTAAAGTTATTCTGGCACAGAGCTCTCCTCACCACCACCACTGTCATGTTTTTCCAAGGTTTTATTTCTCTGTTGTGAGTCAGAAGTTCCCCACTGCACTTCAGTTAGGGTAGGACACCGGCCAGCACCAGGGATTTGTCCATACATATATAGGTAAATGCACGCTCTCTAGGCTGCAAAGTTATTCTGGCACAGAGCTCTCCTCACCACCACCACTGTCATGTTTTTCCAAGGTTTTATTTCTCTGTTGTGAGTCAGAAGTTCCCCACTGCACTTCAGTTAGGGTAGGACACCGGCCAGCACCAGGGATTTGTCCATACCCGGTACCCAGCTCAGGTGTGTAGACCCTAGCAAGGCTCTCCCACAGATGCCAGTACAAAGGCCATGGCCAAGTGTCCCACTGAGGTGCGGTCGCTTGCCCGGACCGTTGGGACGCGGACACCTACGAAGAGCATGCAGCCTGTGACGTTTATTTTTTTACTTTCATAAAAAAATAAACGTCACAGGCTGCATGCTCTTCGTATGTAGCTTTACCGTAATTACGGCTTTAGCCTTTCGCCTTCAGGGTTAGCATGCTGTACAGCTCTGCAATGCAAGCCTCCAAACCAGGAATTCAAATAAACACTAAAAAAAGAAAGAAAGAAAAAAGAAAAAAAGGGAGTCGTACAGAAGAGGGGGGGGGGGGGGGGGGAGGAGGATTATTTGGCATGGGTCGATTACCCTTCCTCTAGAAAGAGCGTTTTACCGTTTCCTCGCAGGAGTGCATCTGCGCCAGGGGGTCGTCAAGCACGGTGTCATGAGTCCATAAAAAGCTGTTTACGGACTCTTGCCGGTAATTATTTCACGACTCCCTGATCTGCACCATACCTGTGCCGTCTGTAGGAGATCGCAGAATCGTCTCCTACCACCATAGAATGTACGGGCACCATAGAATTCTCCGCAGAAACATTGTTTTTCTCCATAGATTCCAGGCCAGGGTGGACGGTCTGGACAAAAAACATGCTGTGCGGAACATTCGCCGTCACTACAGATCTCAAAAGAAATTTGAAGAGAAATGCACGTTCAAAGTAGCATCAAACAAGCTTGCAGCTATGAAAAGGTTGCGGGTAAAACGGTAGTGTGGAGCAAATCTGTAACAGCATTGTTGAAAATTCTTCGCTGGGTTAAAACAGAGTCAGTACAAAAAAGAGGTGGATTGATTGGAGATTTGACTCACTAGGTTCCTAGGGGGAGTTAGACTCACAAGGCTCCTAGGGGGAGGGAGGGACCAGGGAGAAAACTAGAATTCTGATATATTAGTGTACAAAAAATGCGCCCTAAAACAAGCGCAGCAGGGAGAGAGCCAGACAGACAGACAGACACAGACAGAGAGAGAGAGAGAGAGAGAGAGAGAGAGAGAGAGAGAGAGAGAGAGAGAGAGAGAGAGAGAGAGAAAGAGAGGGAGAGAAAGATGGAGAGAGAGAGAGAGAGAGAGAGAGAGAGAGAGAGAGAGAGAGAGAGAGAGAGAGAGAGAGAGAGGGAGAGAGAGAGAGGGAGAGAAAGAAAGAGAGAGAGAGAAAGAGAGAGAGAGAGAGAGAGAGAGAGAGAGAGAGAGAGAGAGAGAGAAAGAAAGAGAGAGAGAGAGAGACTTCGGTCGAAAAGATCACAGAGAAATCAGTACGGCCTCTACGAGAATGTGGGCTCAAAAAACAGCACAGCAATGCTTCCATTGACCCATGTGAAAACGTACCTACAGGAACTGCGACAAGCAAACAGTTCTTATCAGCCGAACAAAGCATTAGTACGGACTTAGAATAGCTAAGGAATCGTTTCAATCATAGAGATAAAGCAGTTGCCTTGAGAAAATGCTCTGGTTGGTGTGAACTTCATAAATTAGCAAAAAAGAAAAGAAAGAAACTCATGCCAGGCACAAAGATCAACGCAGTTCACCACTGCCATTGCAATGCCCGTTCTTCTTTGCATTAACTTACTCAAGCCGTCCGATGAGATACGTCATTGGACGGTGCGTTTGGAAGCGTGCGAGGATGCACGTGTTCACTGGCAGCTGCGCTAGCGGAGCTTGACCGAGACATCCCCCGCAAACACTTGGACCATGCGCTTCAAGACGCGGCAGCGGCATGTGGTGCACTTGAGATCTAGCTACTTGCACGAGGGACAACACCACAGCATTGACTGGCGCATTCACTGCAGATACGCGGCAGCGTATTATTCACTACCGCGGGCGGATCTACTTTGCCACCGGGCTAACCTCAAACAGGTTGATCATGTCGCGCATGGCTTGGCGGATATTCTTGGCAAACCGCTCCGAGCTGGTTGCCTCCGCCGAGAACTTGCTACTGACGTGGAAGAAGATCTTCTTTTCGCCGACGATGATGTACGACACACCGTAACCGTTATCGGCAACCGGTCCAAACCCACCGCCGCCGGTCAGGTCATCTGGAATTTTCACACCCTGAGAAATACACACAGCAGACATCACGCACCAGCGGCACAGAATGCAACGAAATCCGTTAGAACATCGGTGTGCGGTGTGTGTGTGTGTGTGCGTGTGGAAAGCAAATGACATGAAATAAGTATAGCAGCATATGCACGGGTACCGGGCGTTAGCGGCCGTCGTGTGCTCCCTTCGGGAACGGACACAATAATTTACTTTATTTTTTAATTTTTATGCACAGGTACATGTACGCTAGGTGGAGTCCGACACAAAGTGCAAAGCTGGCGCCCTGGAACAGTTTTAAAAGGATACATCACTGTATCTGTACATGTGTATGTGTGTGTGCGACGGTATTCGTACCCCTTCCAGGGCGTCAAGGGCCGTGCGCAAGTCCAGTGTGCCGAATAGGTACTTCGAGACAGATTGCAGCAAGCACAATGCACTTCCCGGCATGCCCTAATGTCGTCCATAAGGACACCTTCCCATGCGGGCACACGTTCATACAACTACGGACATAATGGGCTCGGACCATTTCACTCTCAGAATACCGTACTGCTCGTAGAGGGGATTTACACGACGGCAGCGCATCCCGCCGGGAAGTGAAGCACGTGATTCCGAGAGCTTGCCGTGGCGCGGGGAAAACGAAACTCGAGTCGCACGGCAGGATACACGTACAGTAGCTGAAGTACAAAACAGTCCACGGAATGCCACGGCATGCATTTCCACCACCCAGTCCCTTACGGTACCGGGATCATACCTGGATAGCTCGCGGGATACGTTCGGGCCGAAATTTGAGTTCACGTGCACTGAATCTCCATGGGAGCATCACGCACAGAATGAATCCTGCCGTCAAGTAAATCGCCTCTTAGGGGCCATTCGGTACTACTGATAATTTTCACGGAACGAAAAAGGTAAGCTATGCCCCCTCCCCGAACGAAAAATATGGCAACAGCTAGACCAGGCTGGATTGATGTTCAGCTATCAATACTTTTCAAAACGATACTCTCCTCAACCCACCCACAAACATTTTTTTTCATTTTGTGTAAAAGATCGATGGCTCCTTTAATACCCAATACATTCAACAATACAGTGATATTGATAACGGTGACATCTTATACCATCATGATCATTCACCACAACCACTACAATGGTACAGTAAAACTTGTCAAGGCGACCACCTGTCCTAGAGGACCACTTCAACTAGGAGCAAGGGATGTCATTTCCAGTCAACCGACCCTGGATAAGATCTTCAGATGAAGATGGCATTTGATAGTCCAGCCACAGTAAACATCTTTGAAATGTTTACTTTCACATGGCTACCGGATATCCTCCATATAGACATGCCCGTATATGAGTGTACATGTACTAGTATGCAGTAAATGGGTGTCTACACAGCCCAAGTCAGGACTCTAGAAGCCTCATAGCCCAAATTTGCTAGCGATTCTTTGAGCAAAATATTGGATGCGCAAGTTGCCGGCAAGTTTTGAGCAAAATATCGAGTTTTGTTGGGCTTTTCAGAAAATCCAAGGCGTCTCAGGGGCTTTCTCACCGCAATCAGTCACCAAGGTTGAAAACAAGCACAAAAGTTGGACAAAACAGACTCATGGCCACATTTTTGTAGAAAGTTGAGCAGCAGCAGGAGCTCAATCAAAAATTCCCTCGTCATCAGCGACAATTATCCTTGAGTTTCCTCGAAACTCATTTTTTCTCGAGCAAAACCAAAGCAAAATACCGACGGAGAAAGGAAAATGCCAAGCAGAATATCGAACATTTCGTGGCAAAACTGTGCGGCAAAATATCGATGTGGGCAGAGCAAATTTGGGCCATGCCTGCTCTATAGAACCCACAACCCGTCGCGACCATCTGCCAGGTCAGGAGCTACTTGTACTATGATGTGGAAGGCCTGTCGGTCGGGACAGGGCATACTTACGGTACCAGATGCACGACTTACTTCAAATCAAACCCAACAGGCGACCAGTACCCAGTGTTCTAGCCAGGTCAATATAGTAGGGGGGCGGGCATTGGAAAAAGTTACCCCATGACCCATTTTTTCCATTGTCCAAAATTGTCTTGCCATGCAAAATGTAAAATACAGTGTGAACCCCGACTTCACCCCTCACAAATGTGCCTTTATGAACCCTCTAGTAGTGACTATCGACTGTATTTTCGTTGAATGGCGTGAAAAACACAAAAATCGGAAAATGAGTAGGGGGCGGCACTATTTCACAGGGTGGGGCGCTGCGCCCCCCTACCCCCCCCCCCTTTGGCTAGAACCCTGGTATCTGCGGCTAACAATTTCAATACAGGGTTCTCAACAGAGCAAGGCCAATAGAAAACGCTATGAAAGAACCTCCAACGACCATCAGTGCATTTGCCTTGACAGCTACAAATTTAACAGCCGGAGAGGTGGGATGGGCCTATACAGAGATTTCAGCGATACCGTGCTCACAACATTGGAGTTACGTTGCTGCACCAGTACAAAACCCAATAGACACCGGTGGATGAACCCATTAGTAGCGACAAAATAGCACTTGTGTAATCGTTGTATTCATACTGACCAACCACCAAAATCTAAATCCCTTGACAAGACATACAGAATCCCTGGATTTCTCTCAAAATCCCTGGATGGCACAACTTGTGAAAAAAACGCTTTTCCCGCCAAAAAAAACGTTCGACTCTGCAGATCTGCGTACAGCACAGTTTGACCCTGCTGTGCAGTTAGATCAGTCGGCGCCCGCCTGTCACTTTGTCAGTGCAGATCTTGCAGGCGTGGCTGGTCAGGTCTTGAAAGTGCCGTGCACAGTTAGAAGTGCGAATGGGCACAGTCATATTTTTGGAAAAAACGGGACATTCGAGGCGAATCCATGGAGTTTTCAGGAAAATCCTGTATCAGACAAAACAGTGACTTTTCCAGGAGTTTGATTGAAATCCCCGGGACCCCGGGAGTAGTGTTGATTGCCTGGGAAAATCCCGGGAAAACCGGGAGGGTTGGCCAGTATGTGTATTAAACCCAATAGGCATGCAAAATCTGTGAAGACTGTACCTTTGGTGGATCCTGATTGTACGGCGTCTGCGACGTAGACAGGCGCCACGGCTCGCTGAGCACGTCCTGCAGGAATGGCTCGTCCTTGCCGAGGTACTTCGAGACGACGTAGAGCGTAAACAGATGCCGATCGACGCCACAGCCGGCCATGGCGTTGCGGTAGCTCTCCTGGTGGCGATTGCCGGCAGCGCGCAGCAGGCCCTGGACTTCAGCAGCGGTCGGCGCTCCGTCGCCACCGGCAACGTACTTCTGCATGGCCGCCACGAACGCGCATGACTCGCCGGACACGGGCCGTACGGTCTCGGTGCGACCCTCGCGGAACAGGCGCGTCATCGACGCCTCGTACGTCAGGCTGAACTTGCCGATGTCGCGCCAGTAGGCGAGCTGCAGCGCCATCTGGATGAAGGCGTCGGGCGACATGCGGCACTTCTTGACGGCGCCCTTGCCAAACTCCGTATGGCACAGCACGTACAGGTCCAGGTCGGCGATCAGCTTCTCGGCGTCCGTGAGCGCACGCGAGATCTCCGTGTTGCACGCCTCCGGCAGGTTCCAGCGCAGGCGCTGTGGCAAGCGCCGTGGGCAACTCACCTACAACACACAGGCAAAGACAGGACAAAGACTGAGTGATCGAGACCAATATCGTCTTAGGCAACACATGTCTGTTTGGCAAAAAGCTTGGGCAAGATTAGTGCTTGTGCAAGTGTACATTCATACAAGTCACTGACGTGTGCAGTAACTCGCTATCAATGTTACGACGGGATTGTTAGTGAACTAAGCATAGCCAGCAGCTTAGCAAGAACAGCCTACACACCTTGCCCAAACAATGGCCGTCTTCTCCGTAGATTGGCGCGTCGCGCGACAACACATGCTCCTTCATCATGAGCACCTCGAACAGGTGGCCGATGACAGGGGCGTCTGCCCAGCTGTGCTCCGCATTGCCCACAAACACGCCGTTGGAGTACACGGCCAGCGTCAGGCTCTTGTCGAACCAGCGGTTGTAGCCGTTGCCGTGCAGGCCAGAGCGAGACAGGGCAGTTACCTACGCAAACACACAGCACACACAGCACACACATGCGCACACTCACACACATACACACACACGTGCACACACATACACGTGCACACACACACACACACACACACACACACACACACACACACAATAGGAATATAGACTGCTGAGGAAATCCAATGCACAGCAGACACAATAGAGGGTTGCTGTGATTCTCCACCCAAAAGAGAGCACATCCTCTTCCAAACTAACCATTCGAAAAACAGCAGCGAATTCATGCTTCCAAGGAGGATACATAAACAAAGATTGTGAGATAGGTAGACAGACAGGTTGCTAGGTAGACAGAGAGATGAGTAGATACTCAACCCCTGGACAGCAAGGTGCTTGGACCTTGTTAGGTCTCCTCAAAGTCACTGGCCGACCAGATTGCAATGAAGTGCAGGAAACAAAACATCAATGTCAGATAGATAGATAGATAGATAGATACCGTAAAGTTCCGTGTATACGCCCACTCGAAGTAACGCCCATGCCCGAAATAGCGCCCATCGAATCGACATCCACACTCAAAGCCCGTGAGTTCGCCCATGCCCAAGTATACGCCCAGGGTGATGCTGTGTCTGTGTATGTGTATGTGTGCAAAATGTTATGCATGCTTATGAAAATGTTATGCATGCTTATGAAAATGGTATGCATGCTTATGAAAATGGTATGCATGCTTATGAAAATGTTATGCATGCTTATGAGAATGTTATGCATGCTTATGAGAATGTTATGCATGCTTATGAGAATGTTATGCATGCTTATGAGACGCAAGCCATGCAATACGCACCTTGTATAGGCCCAGTTCTGAAATAACGCCCATGCCCAAATATACGCCCAGTTTTCAGACCCCTGTTCTGTATATGCCCGGGGCTTATTTACGCAACTTTACGGTAGATACATAGACGGAGAGAACACAAAGATAGGGCAGCTCTCCATTCACCATTCAAGCCAGGCTATGCTCGCTCTTACCTCCGTGTCGCTTCCGGGAGAGAACGACGGCTCACCGTCCTCCAGGACGATAACACAGGCGGCCGTCTCGACGATCTGCAGGCTCTTCTGGTTCAGGCCAGAGCTGAAGTGGCTCTGGCGTACTTTAGCCCAGGATGTCCGGTCGGTGGCGGTCAGGGCTGGCAGGTGAAGCTCGCCGTCGGGAACGTCCTTAACCACCGCGTCGTCGTCGATGATCAACTGTATGAGCATCTCGAGCTCGGCCGGCTGCAGAATGCGCCCGCTGTAGTAGAGCGGCACGTGGTAGAAGCGTCCGCGCCGCATCACGGCCACGTGGCGCGACTTCCAGTAGGGCACGTGCTGGATCTCATCCTGCTCCACGCCGGGCAGGCGCGTGGTGCCGAACACGCGCTTGTACTGGTTCATGCACAGCGGCACCGCGTTGCTGATCAGCATGGGCTTAACGCGCTCCAGCTCCAGGTCCTGCTTGAACTTGGCCAGGAAGTGCAGCAGGCAGCCGACGCGCGCCGCCTGCACTTTGGTCGTGCGCGGAAACCCGTCCAGGATGTAGTAGTTGGAGTTGATCATGATTGGCGAGCGGCCGCGCAGGTACACGTACTGCTCCCACCAGTCCGACACGTAGTTACTGCTGAACAGGTGCTTGGCGCGCAAGAACAGCTGCAGCCAGCGCCCGCTGCCCGCCGCAAACTCCTCGGCGCGTTTCCTGGTCGCCTCGTACTTCTCGTCGTCCATCAGCGGCCGCACAGTCCTCAAATAGTTCTTGCACGTGTCCTCCACCGATGGCAGTGGTAGCCAGGGTAGTGATGTCTGGAATGTGTACAGGCTCGGGCGGATAGGTCCGATCACGAACTTCACGCACAGGAACCAGAGCTTGATGAGCAGCGGCATCTTGCCGTGCGCCGTGTACAGGTAGCCTTTGAAGTAGAGAAGCATGATGAGCACGTACCGCTGGATGTACAGGCCAGAAATCCAGACGATCAGCGCCAGCGACAGCACGGACACCACGTGCACGGCGTCGGGGCTGGCCAGCCGATCCAGAAAAGGCAGGAACGACTGCCACCATTGCAGCAGCTTAGACGCAGTGCCCGGCGATAGGAGGCGCAACAGGGTGAATACGGCTAGCCATAACACCAAGGACCAGGGCGAACCAGGATAAATTGCCCGCAACACCGAGTTCCTCAACTCCAAGAATCGCCTCTGCGCCGATCGTGCTGAGGAAAGCAGGACATTGTTGATCAGCTGGCGATCGACACGAAAGCTGATGTTCCCCTCGTCGGTGACAGAGAATTGAAAGGCAACAGCCAATCGGGCTTCCGCCATGACCCCTCAGCTCTCCTGGCACTTCACAGGAGCCCAAGATGGTTGTGGTACTGCCTTGTGTAAACTCCAAAACCGTACAAATTGTAGAAAGCAAAGTGATCGGGCGGCGAGCCTTCCCTGCCTTTTTTCCTGGTCAAAGACTCCAGAGCGAAACTGTGCCAACGTGGCGAGCTTGACTCAACGTGAGTTCAAACAGGTTTATCGTACGCACGACGCTACCGTACGAAGTAAAGTTGTACAGCTTGCACCACTCGTACCGTCCCGCGCTCGTCCTTCACGATGTTCACCGAAATAGCAAAAACTGCTTTGACTTGCGTTGGAGACTGGATGGGCATTTGCTACGATCCACACTGGTAGATCTACTGGGCGAACCTCTGGCTCAAGTCGAGAGGAGCAGCGGGGGTGTGCGTTGAGGGCAAGGGTCAAAAATACCGGCACACGTGCCCACCAAAAAATTAATAATCGTTTCTAGAGTAGATGTTTGGTCTTTGCAGCTTTGCGTTTCCAGAATGTCATTTTTGTTGTCATGTAATGTTTGCAGTAAGTGTACGTGGGTGCGCATACTTACTAGCACTTGACATTGTACAACAAAATAACAGTTACAGTCATGCAGTAACATTGTCATGAAAGTACTATTGTAGTACAGTACATGATCTATGACTTGATTGCAGACGTGCGTATGTCATTGTATTATGCACATGTATGTGAACGTTTGCACCAGTGCCAGTACTCGTAAACGAACATCCTTTTATCATACTTCAGGGTGCCATTACAGTTTCCACAACAGTACAGGACTGCACCTTGTGTTTGATTTTCCAAGGGATGATACAACATTTTGAAAACACCAGTAGCACAGCACGCGTACTACAGTAGTATCAATAGAAGAATATTCATGATAAAAACATTGAAAAGTGTAAAATGACGGGAAATGTTTTACACGAAATGGATCAGAATCCGGCCGCAACGGGCTGGATGAGCTAGCAAAGGCACTAGAGGTACGGTCGAACCACTATCCCTGGCGAGAAGAGCCATCCTAGATGGGTAGGGGCGACGGGGGCGGTGGGAATTCTTTTCATGTCCCCCGCAAATCAAATAAGTGAGCAGTAAAGTTTCATGATGGCCAAACAATACTGGACAAGGATAAGAGCTGGCAAGCGTATGTAAGCAAACTACACTATTATTACAAATAAATCAAGCATGCAGATACAGCGAGGAATAGTGCATGATAGCACACCTGAAGTAGAAATCTCTCTTATGAAATGCATGATTTGAACGGAAATATTCCAAAAAAGGCACAGGTTGCACCTCCAAAAGATTCTTTAGATTGTTCTAGAGAACAGTGTCCATGTGGCACTGCAAACTCCCTCGGTACGGGCTTGAACCCGTGCATCAGAGATGGCCCTGGGAAAGAAGGGAACTTCCCTTGAGATGCTACTGGATGGGTGCATAGCCGCCGGTTCCCTTCTTTTTGGAGCAGCGGCGGTAGACGGTGGCGGTGGGAACGCCGAAGAACAGGACCAAGCTGGGCAGGCCGAGGCCGAGGGCGATGATGAGAATTACCGTCAGGCTGACGCTGTCCGAGGGCACCTCGCCAAACCCAATGACCATGTCACTGCACACAGCGCACAAGAAAGAAGCAAAAGACAACATAAGAGATCGCAGCAACATAACTAAAAAACGTAGTACGTCACGTACGTTCGGGCCTGGTTTAAATCTGGCTTTGGAAAGTTTATTTTCCGATTTTCATTGCTATCACTTATCAGCCTCAGCTTGGGCCTCATTTTCACTGTGCTGCGCTGATGAGACCACAAAGGACTACACAGTTCTGTCCCCAAATTGAGTAAGAACGTGATGAAACCTTTTTTTTAGGCTATTGGTAGGCACTTCAGTCACGTGACACGACCTGTCAAAAAGTGCTAACGCTGAATCGCGTACATGCGTGGCACCACGGAAAGGCGCATGCATAGATCGATCTGTAGCTGCACGGAAGCTGCGCAGGGCCTTCTCGTGTGGCGCAGCGTGTAGCTGAGGCCCTCAGCTTTCGTTTGAGCCCACATACGTCATTATGCGGCAATTTTTTGAACTCACGTACAGTTCGAGTAAAATCGGCAAGGATTTTTCGGGCATTTCACTTGATTGCACGCATTTGCCATGTAGCTCATCGTCTTCAGCGTCGTATTTCCTTTCGGAATCAGTTGTCCTCGTTTGTCCAACACTTTGCGCATTGCTGCGCAAGAAGAAATAATGCGAGGTGTTATTGAAAGCGAGCCGCGACAGGCGTCCTCCCGGCACTAGTCCTTGTTCGTCGGAGCCCATGCACATGGCTGCGCAAGAAGAAATATTGCAGGTGTTATAATTATATTGGAGTCGCATCGGAGCAGTCGTCCTCTCCTGCAGGCAACGAGTAGGACAGTATATACTTCGGCGACTGAACCAAGAGAGCTGACATCAAAACGGCCTGCTTGGAACAAATCGTCAGCTGATCAGCAGGTGGCTTCCAGCGACCAAGAAAAGCATTGATGGTGATATTATACCAAGAATCCAGCACACACTCTATGCACAAAATCTCTCATGCTGGAGTTGCTGAAGTTTCAGTAGTCCCAAACATTTGCAAACAATGTTCTACATGTAATAGTTTGTCATTTCTTTCCGTCAAATACCGGGTAAAATTCTAGTTTGCTCAGTATTCGGCTCATTGTTCTTCCGTAGTCGTCACCACGTCAGTACTGTACATTGTAGCAACAATGTGTTCTGTACGAAGTAGTGGTTGCGACTTCGGCGATGATTTGTAAGAAAGGTTTGCTCCCCACACCGGAGCTCGCGCTATTCCGCCGACTTTACTTGACACTTGACTGACTCACGACTGCCATCCAGAGCACATGAGAAGTCCATCGAACCTTCGACTCGGCAAACCTGCAAGAAAGCACCACTCCCTGCTCAATACACAGTGTTTCAGGGAATTCACCCCTCATCAGTTGAGCTTGAGTAGGCTGAGGAAGATTGTGCCTGAAGAGCACCACTTATATAGTGCTCTCCAGGCACAAACATCACCAGGGATACAAACTTACAGAGACGCTCCGCTTCCAGCGCGATAAACACCTCGTGAACACCAGATAGCAGCGTGCAACCACTACTTCGTACTGTTGTGCCCAGCGCGGGCTTGCGACTAGTTGGTTTGGAGGTGACAGCGTTGTGAATGACCGAGGGTCCTCGACGTCTGTCTCACCGTCCAGGAGCGACACTGACTCACGCTGCTATCTAATGTGTTCTGGCACTGAATTATTGTTGTTACTTTATCTTACCTCAAAGTCTCATCTTATGCTTTTCCAAAGGCTTCTCTGCACTGTTTTCATGCTGTTGCGATGGAGTTGCTATGGAGTTGCCATGGTGACCACACCCGATATCTTCGTCTGAGCTGCCGGACGGATGAAAAATGCGAAGTTTTTCCAAACCATGCTGTTTCTGCATTCATCTGATTATTTTGACCTGCTTCCAGCGAGCCTGGTATTTTGCCACTATAGACACTGAAGCAAGTCCTACCAATTTCTGATATGCTGCTGGTGCCGTCGAAATACTGAAATTGCCGTTATTCAGTTCTCCGACTTTGGATGGCTATATCTCTGTGCCAAGTTATTCTTTTTGCTTCAAATTTTCTGTGGAGTCTTCCTAAACCTATCTGAATCGGATACAAGAAAGAAATATGAGTATTTCTGGTTTTGAAAAAACCGCCTGAAGTGCCTACTATTGGTTCACAGAAGCATCTGAGTGCAACAAGAAATAGCGCAGTGGTGATAAGGAACTTTACCACGTGCAGCCAAGTGTGCATAACCCCCAAGAGTGTGCAGCTGCCTACACAACCTCTATCCTGTGCTGTGATGGGCGGAGAACTCCATATCACGTGACATGGTTCATCAGGTTACGCCAAGAGTACATAACCCCCCAGAGTGTGCAACTCCACTATGGGTGCTGTCCCAACAGAATTTCAAATTGACGTCATTTTGATGATGCAATGCGCACTGAACACGGATTATCAAACAAATCCAGAACCTGTGGATGACCGAAGCCGATCCATCCTGTACAAATTATTGCAAAGAAAAACGTGTGATGCGTTGACACCCGTACACATGTTGTAAATCACTGGTGCAAGGAGCATTGCGTCATAAATAATGACGTCAACTTGAAATTCTTTCGGGACATGCAGGGTATGTGGGAGTTGCACACTCTGGGGGTTATGTTCTTTTGGTTACGCTGGCAAACAGTGCAAAGTGAGCGCAAGAGAGTTGAACCGTCCATTGCAAGGTTGCGTACAACCCTGTATCTATCATGCACAGTACAGGGTGCAACTGATGTGTACAAGTTCGTCACGTGATGAAAAGTTCTGCCGTTGCTCAGATGCAGGCCCCATAGCTGGACTGGCACACTCTTGGGAATTATCATCATGTACTCTTGATGCTACCAAGAGTACATAACCCCAAGAGTGTGCAACTCCAGCTATGGGGTCTGCGACGGCAGAACTTCACATCACGTGATGAACCCGTACACATTATTTGCACTCTGTGCATGATTGATACAGGGTTGTACGAAACCCAGCTTTGGGTACAACACTCTTGTGATCACTTTGCACTGTTTGCCAGTGTAACCTTTTGAACCATGTCACGTGATGTGAAGTTCTGCCGTCGCAGCACAGCATAGAGGTTGTGCAGGCAGTTGCACACTCTTGGGGTTACGTACTCTTGATGCTACCAAGAGTAAAATAAGCTCCCAGGAGTGTGCAACTGCCTGCACACAGGGTCTCTGGCGGCGAAAACTCACCTAGCGTGTTCTAAATACGATTTGTACTACGTACAACCAAGAGTACATAACCCCCAGAGTGTGCAACTGCCTGCACAACCTCTATACAGTGCTGCGACGGCAGAACTTCACATCACGTGACATGGTTCAAAAGGTTACGCTGGCAAACAGTGCAAAGTGACCACAAGAGAGTTGAACCCAAAACAGGGTTGCGCAGGGTGCAAATAATCATGTGTATGGATTTGTCACGCGATGTGAAGTTCAGCCGTTGCAGACCCCATAGCTGGAGTTGCACACCCTTGGGGGGGGGGGGGGGGGGGGTTATGTACTCTTTTGATGTTACCAAGAGTACATCACCCCAGAGAGTGTGCAACTCCAGCTATGGGGTCTGTCCCGAGAGGATTTCAAGTAGACACCATTTTTACTTTACTTAATGCCCACTGTGCATGTACTATCAGACGCTTCCTGAACCTGTGCTGGACAAAGCCCCATTTTATCCTGCTCAAATTAGTTCAAGGAAACGTGTGATGCGTTGACACTCCGTACAAATGTCGTAAATCACCGGTGCCCAGCAGGGTGTGCGGGAGTTGCACACCAGGGATGAATTTATTGTCATATTTTTGCATAGCAGTTTCGGCTATACAAAATCACAATTGTGTAGCAGTCTTTGATTTTGATTAGCATTTTTCTTCGAAGGTTGGGTGTATACGAGAGATTGTCCTTCGTGAGAGTGATGCCTGAAAGCCCATTTGCAAAAAAACGAGTGAATCATACGTGTGCACGCAGATTGAGAGTACCTGCATCACATACACTGCACTGTATGCATGTTACTTGACAGACCAGGCTAGGCATGGATAGCCGGTATGTATCGCAGTTTTCTGCGAGTCACGGTGACTTTTGAGTAGCAATAGATCGATTTTGCATCGCAAACTGCGATGCGATACAGGATACAGGATCATCCCCGCACACTCTGGGGGGGGGGGGGGGGTATGTAATCTTGATGTTACCAACAGCAGGTACAATTGCTCATGGCCACTGCCAGTAAACTTACAAGACTGTGACGTTTGTTTGTGTGGAATTGAAGGTGAGGTAGAGAACACGCACATCATCCAGTGAGATGTTACCACCATTCAGTACTGTGGCAAGACTGTACGGTACTTCGGTGATGCCTGCAAGCGTAGAAAGACCAAACACACACACACACGCACACACGTACACGCACACACAGAGCGTATCCACACGCCACAGTGAGGGTCAATGAGATGCGATCGTGCGAGTCAGCTTCCCCGGCTAGATGCACGGGTTGACCGGAGTTGGAACAAACATGGCTGTCCCGAGGTCATGTGATAAATGTGAAACCACTCTAATCACCTGGGGGGTTATGTACCCCATAGCTGGAGCTGCACACTCTTGGGGGTTATGTACCCCATAGCTGGAGCTGCATACTCTTGGGGGTTATGTACCCCATAGCTGGAGCTGCATACTCTTGGGGGTTATGTACCCCATAGCTGGAGCTGCATACTCTTGGTATCACCTGAACCATGGCTAGTTATAATCACCCACATCCTACTCACATCGGCTAACGCCACATGACTGTGCGAAGCAATACTAATACTTGGTCCGACTTATTAAAATGTGCGTTTCGCTTCGAACGTCAGCCAAACAAATTCAAATAATCTCAGGACGGAACAAACTTTCCAGCTACCTAACACTATCCTTCAGTTGTCGATTTGTGATGTTGAAGAAGAAATGGCTCCAACCCCAAAGGAGGCAGCGCCTCAGGATCCTAGTCGACTCGAGCATTTTGCGTGAAAATTTTGTCGTCAGAGGACTCCTGTTGCTTCTCGCGAAACACAGAGAAGGCCTGGTGCTGAAATCAACACCCCACTGCGATGGGGAATTGTCACGGAGTACCAGAAACTCCTGGGCGATCGTTCTCGAGTGCTTCCTGGCGGATTGAAATCGCTGCAGTCGCTGTTTCCTTGGAAGAATCAAGTTCAGCAAACGCGTCATCCAGAAACTCGTGCAGAAAGCACCTGCATCGCTCCGTCCAGTTTGTGCTGATCTCTCTCGCATTCATTCACGATGTGGCGGCCGACGAATCAAGATCACAGAAGAGATCGTCGAGCAGTTGATCAATATAAACAACCGCCCTTGAGGTCGACTTTCAGGCGACAACCTGGCTGGAAATCTGAAGCGCAGAAAGGGTGAATACGGTGCGTGAACATGGTGAATGGTGCGGAGTCCTCGCCGACTCCTCGGAGCCGCGATCGCGATGCGTCACAAGATCGCCAGTCTCCGGGGCCAGTGGATTCGTGAAACAGGCAGGGAAGAGCACACATGGTCTGATGCAGCTGACTGTGTGACAGTCATGTCGACACAGATCAGACTCAGTAGTTCTACGCGCGCGCGGCACACGGTGATGAGAAGTGATTTTTTTATGCGTGGTGGTTTACTTGTTCGCCTCATTTGAAAGTGTCGTGGGAGCGTCAGGCGAAAACACCTACAGCCACCATTCTGGCAGTCGTACTGCACGAGGAGGAGGCGAAGTCGATCGTCTAAATCGTGCCTATGGAGTGAAAAAATCAAGGAAACGCAGTGTAGCTTGGAGGAGATGAAAAAAATGTCGACGTTTTGCAGGTTGACGCACTTGAAGAAGCGCCCTGAGACACCAGCAGAGATGAAAACTAGAAGGTCAGGCCAATAAACGACAGAGTAGTTATCTATCTATCGTCTCTTGGTCGATTTTTTAGTACAGGTGCTCCTTTGGACATAGGCTTGAGTTTCGAAGCGAAGCGCACATTTTAATAAGTCGGACCAAGTAACAACCTGTCTTTCGAGTAGCACAGGTACAGTGCAAATATCCTGCATTGCAGAGAGCACACACATGAGCTGCCCTTACCGGCTTCACTCAACGTGACCAGCTTCTGCTTGTTGTGGATCTTGAAGAGGTCGATGTGTGCAGAGTTCTTGATGGTGCGCGACGTTGCATTGGTGTAGACTATGGGCTTCCAGTAGTGGAAGCCCTTGTTGGCACCGTTGACGATGTCGCTGTGCCTGTGAAACGAAGCAAGCATACGTCAGTCGCACACGGAAATACAGGATTACACGCAGGTGCTTAAGCAGAAGACACGTACCACACGTGCACCCAAGTGGGTGTACGGACCCCACACGCAAAACAAATAAGAGAAGTGGACAAAATGTGCATAGCTGCGCATTTGTCGCTGCCTATTCACAATAACCATGATTATGCCGTTATACCGGGCCTGTGCCCTTTCCTGTTTTATCTCATCATAATTATTGTGTTTGTGATCTGATTTCATGCACTGGCGTCATTCTTCCCAAAAAAAGTATTAATAACTATACTGTACAACTGAGTAAGATGTACGCGCATGGATAGCAAGAAAGTGTTTTTAGTATCCAAGGTACAATACTTCATATCGCAACATACGTCAGTATGTGCCCGTGCTCAAGACAAGATCCGTACTAAGTAAGACTACGCATACTCTTGTGCTTAGTACGGACATTGGCTTGAGCACAAATAGTGATCACAATAGTGAAAATGAGACTAAAGGAAGTTAGAGAGGGCATCTCTCGAGAAATTCACCAAAAAAACATTTTCAAATGTCACCTCCATCTTGCTGATGAAGTAAAAAAAGGAGACAAAGCTGCCCTTAACTTGGTACTCTGATTGCTACTTAGGAAACATTGTCATCATAAAATCGGGCTGGTTTGAAACTCAAAAATTTCCCTGCACAAAATTCCGCTACTTTATAGGAAAAATTGTCATCATAAAATCGGGCTGGTTTGAAACTCTCCAAATATCTCCCTGCACACAATTCCCCGCTTCGCAGTGTTTCATCACACACTGACCAGAACTGGGATGGAGTATACTCGTCATCCAAGGACTTTCCACTGGCCAGCTGGAGGTCGGGGTGAGTTGTGTCCGGAATTATCAACACCTACAGCGGTGAAACAATACAAGAAAAGAAAGAAAGAGAGAAAAGCTAAACAACAGCAAAACAGTTCTTGGTGCGATTTCGTGCAGTACTCTCTAACGGATGCATGAGCAGACAGACTCGCCAGGGTCAGATAGGCTGGGATGGACAGACTTGCCAGGGTCAGATAGGCTGGGACGGACAGACTCGCCAGGGTCAGATAGGCTGGGACGGACAGACTCGCCAGGGTCAGATAGGCAGGGACCGACAGACTCGCCAGGGTCAGATAGGCTGGGACGGACAGACTCGCCAGGGTCAGATAGGCTGGGACGGACAGACTCGCCAGGGTCAGATAGGCTGGGACGGACAGACTCGCCAGGGTCAGATAGGCTGAGACGGACAGACTCGCCAGGGTCAGATAGGCTTGGACGGACAGACTCGCCAGGGTCAGATAGGCTGGGACGGACAGACTTCCCAGGTTAAGATAGGCTGGGACCGAAGCCAGGCTAGGCTGCCCAGGACTTAGGATTGCATGGATCTCAGAGCACACACGGTCAATACTTCCTAAACGTTTTTTTACAGCATTTCCTGAACTTTTATGCTGATGAGCGATTTTCCTATGGCAGTGGGTCCAACAAGGTATGCAGATGTAGGGAGTTTGTCCGCATGTGCATCTGACACCTTCGGCACGATAGGGGTGACAGTGTCCTTGTGGATGTGTAGCAAGCGTCGAAACTATTATGAGAGAACCGCTAGGTCAGGGCTCTATGATTGTAGCTATGCTTAGTCTTTACAGGGGCGCATCCAGGAAGGGTTCCGGGAACCCCCTAAAATTTCGCAAATGTACTATAAACTGGAAGCCATCTGCATGTACACGTATCAGCTATTCAGTTTTGGCTAAACTGGAACCCCCCCCCTGTAGAGATCTCTGATTCCGCCCCCACGCACGCACCATGCACACACGCATGCACACACACACACACACACGCACGCACACACACACACACACACACACACACACACACACACACACACACACACACACACAACTCAGACCTCAGACATGCCCATCGCGGAAGCGATGATAGCGAACAGCTATGTTAGACATAGCAACTTGTGCTGGGATTACACCATTCAACAGCTTGCAAGGCTGATGAATTGACCGCCACTATTTTTAGCCTGGTATCCACCACACAGCTGTTTGAAGTGACTTTTTCAATAGGGATTCACACACACACACACACACACACACACACACACACACACACACACACACACACACACACACACACACACACACACACAGAAATGACCAAAAAACCCCGGCAAGGGCCCTGGTTACGCCAGTCGCTACTGCACAATGTCTTTGGCATAGCTTCGGGAATTAAATCACTGTCCTCTACCGGCTGCTATAGCATACAAGTTCCGTTTTCTAACGAAAAATACAATCCACATGCAGAGGCATGCTGAGCCAGAGTCACCTACTAGTACACTGCCAGTCTCACCTCCAGCACAAAGTTCATGCCGACGATCTTGGCAAGATCCCGCACTTCGCCGGTGGAGTTGTCGATGTCGATGAACGAGAAGTTATGAAACTCCAGCTCGAGACGAGTGGAGTTCTCCGAGTACTTCAGGTGGGGCAAGAGTTTCTCACGGCCCTCGGTGTCTGAAGTAGCGAACTAAACAGCAAACACAAACAAGTGGACAGAGAAAGAAAGAACGAAAAAAGAGACGGGAGGATTTTCGCACCACGGTCAAATCAATTTTCTGGGAAGTTTTCCAAAATGCCAGCGTCAGCCAGTGTGTGAATGGCCTAGTAGTGATGGCAGGGCTGCCCCTTTCTGGGAGTAGAAATCTGTACTGTCCGTTTGTCGGGCCACCTGTAAAACTCCTCTGATTTTTACAGGCAATTCCGAAAAATCGGAACAAGCGGCAGCCCTGCCAAGAATGTATACAGTACTGTCGGGCGCCGAAGAACGCAGCGCCGAAGAACGGAGTGCCAAAGAACGGAGCGCCGAAGTACGGAGTGCCGAAGAATGGAGCGCCGAAGAACGACCAGGCTAGAATTTCATCAAGCACAGCATACAAATGTACCCACGGTGACTCGACTGCGCATAGACTGTAATACATGAAAATAAGAACGGTCTACTAGTAGGCTAGGAGGCTGACCACCCGGTACTGCGGCGACCGACAGCACTGTAGTAAAACTGACCAGTAATGGTGTGCACAGGTAGTCAGGTACCCGTGCTACCCGTGAGCACCTCGGGTTGACGGGTACAGAACAGTACCCGAAAACCCAAAGTCGCAGATGACATCATGTACAGTGCACGTGTACAAATTCATGTAATACTCCGCAATGTCAACCCAGTGTGTAAGGGAAGGGGTGCATTGTGGTGTTACCATGGAAACATTACCCGATCGGGCACCCGTACTACCCGTGGAAAACTACCCGAGCCCGATACCCGAAGAAAATGCTACCCGACTCAGCCCTACATACCAGTACGGAGAATTCGCACTCAGCGGTAGTGACATTGGCCGGCACCATGGTGAAGTTAGCCTTGACATCAGAGACTCCAGGAGGACCATTGGCGTTGAGCGTCTTCTTTCCCAGTGTCCACGAGCGGTTGGCCAGGATGCACTCACGGTACGCCGCCTGCTGCAGTGTGTACGTCGTCGTGTTGATGGCAAACATGCGTGTGAAGAGAGTGGTCTGTTGAGGGGGATGTGCGTGTGGCACGCACGCACGCACACACATGTACATACACACATGTACATACACACATGTACATACACACACGCGTACAAACACACACGGAACAAAATGAATGGACTGATACAAGGGAATAACAGGCAGAGCGAGGAAAGACACATATACCCACGTGTGTGCACACACACACTCACACTCTCTCTCTCACACCACACACACTCACACACACTCTCTCTCTCTCTCTCTCTCTCTCTCTCTCTCTCTCTCTCTCTCTCTCTCTCTCTCTCTCACCACACACACTTTCTCTTTCTCTCTCCCACACACACACACACACACACACACACACACTTGTACTTGCACACACACACTTGTACTTGCACACACACACACTTGTACTTGCACACACACACACTTGTACTTGCACACACACACACTTGTACTTGCACACACACACACTTGTACTTGCACACACACACACTTGTACTTGCACACACACACTTGTACTTGCACACACACACTTGTACTTGCACACACACACTTGTACTTGCACACACACACTTGTACTTGCACACACACACTTGTACTTGCACACACACACACACACACACACACACACACACACACACACACACACACACACACACACACACACACACACACACACACACACACACTTTCTCTCTCCCACGCACGCACGCCCGCGCGCGCACACACACACACACACACGCACACCATTGGACCATTGGACGCCCAGCGCCGGAGGCGATGATAGCGATGCTACAGCAGAAGCCATAGCAGCTTGTGCTCGGATTTCACCATTCAACAGCTTGCAAGGCTGAAGAATTGACCGCTACTATTCAGCCTGGTCTACACCACACAGCTATGAAGTGGCTTTTTCTGGCCAGTGAATCCCTACTTTTTGGTCTTTTTCATTTTTTTCCCGCACACACATCACACCACATACTCCGGCATGCACTGGCTGTTGGTAACCACCCAGGAGAATGAAAGAAAAGTCAGGAGGAGTCTGAGAAAGAGAAGAAAGACGTGTGTGACCATAATCATCGGGAATCGAACCCGCAATCTATCGATTGGAAATCGCTGCACATACCACTGCACCATATGGGACACACACACACACACACATACACACACACACACACACTTTCTCCCCCCCCCCCCCCCCAGACACACACGCCACTAACACGACACATTGTTGGACATTTCACCAGGCCCATAGCATCAACCATACCTGAACATACTCCACTGGCAAGTCCACGCTAAACACGGGTTCATCCTCGGGAGTTTCAGCATCCACATTCCAATCGATGTTCAGCTTGTGACTACTAGCTTTGGGAGAGCGAGCTACGGCAATGGCTGGGACACCTACATCACTCCACAAGTATACGTAATTCAAGCTGGAATTTGTTGATAGCACTGTTGACACGATGTGCTGGGAGTCACACAAGCTGTGGTTCAGTGGGCAGCCTACATTGGTCTTGGGAAACAGCTGCAGAGGAGATAGCAGAGTGATACGTCATTAAAGGGTGTTAGAGAGCGCGGAGAGATTGTATTGTTCGGGGAACAATACCAGGGGCGTAGGCAGGGGGGGGGGGGGGGGTGTGTGCTTTGGGTGCCAAAGCACCCCCCTCAAAAATGTCGATCCTGGTTCGCACCTGGTTCGAGACAGACCATAATGCACGGACCGCTGATCACATTTGCAACTTTGCACACTACAGGTTGTAGCACTGTAGCCACCCCTCTTCAGACGGTGACCAGAGGGAGTACTGTACTAATAGTAGGGAGGTTTAGTTCCCACGTAACGGACACGCGTACGTGGGTGATCCATGTGAAGTGGATGAAGGGCACCCACGTTGCAATGTTGTGTTTAGTCACACGGAACAAACAAAAGCATGAAGCGAAAGGCCCAAAGCTGGTCAAAGACGAAGCTACCCGGGCCTAAGAAGCTCATCCAATATTTTGATTTCGTGCTTCGGAAACTTCTTCAGCTGAGCACCCTCACAGCTCGCACAACGCGCTCCATTCTGATTTTCACCCACGTTCCGCCGGAACGTGGGTGAGCCTCCATACACGGTATGTCGTGAATCAGAAAACGTCTGTACGTGGGTCACTGAGTATCACGTGATACACACACGTAAAGTACCCACGGATTACGTGGGACTAAACCCCCCTAGTATTACTGAGTAATAGGTATCGTCCTACTCCCTGGTTTTGACCTACTCGTACGTGTTTTAACATCTAAAATCAATCCACATGTTCCTTTTGTCTGATATTTGGCTGTTTTCCAACTCCGCTTCGTACCTGCTCAGCAGACTGAGCACATTATTTGTATCGCACTACACATGTTTTGTTGGAAGCAAAGAGTCATCTAAACCACGCCATGGGTTGAAGCAGCACCACGGTCCATGGAAAACACAGTATTGTAACATTTTTGCGAGATTTCGCAAAGGTTTTCACAGCCAGAAAACACGTGTCAGACATAGGAGTTTGTTCGCGGTATGTTTTGTATGATATAGTTCTGGATGTTGAGTGGTCGTGTCATGGACAAGCAAAGAAGTTTTTTCGTGTCTTGCAAGTGTGGGTTCAGCAGCAGAAGAGCGAAAATAACTTTGAAGTGTAGTTTACGGTTTTTGCGGGAAATACAGTGTACGTGTTATGAAGGATGCTCTACTGCACTATCGAACACAACGAAGAGAAAAACGGGTTGAGAAATCTGACTTTAAGTTCGATGGAAAGTGTGATAATTCTCGAGAAAGTAACAACCCAGGACTTAGCTCATCATTAGTTGGAAGCAGGGAGTAGTAAAATATCATATTTTCTACTCCCTACTTGGAGGTGTTCCCATTCACTGATTGATCTTCAGTGTCAAATATGGGGCTACTTTTGCTCCCCCCCCCCCCCCCCCCCATATCGCGGATCATGAATGAAAGGACCAACATAAGTGCATTTACATGTACACTCATACCTCGGTTATCCGGGCAGTCCGGGACCTTGCACTGCCCGTAACTTTGAAATGTCCGTAACTCCGAATCATACACATCTTGATGGGGAAAAGGCCATCGATATGGCATATGACGCCAATATTTCTACGAAAAGTGACAAAAGAGTAGTAATATTTCCCCTGAAACTCGCCCAAATAGTGCCCGGTAGACCGAAGTGCCCGTAACTTCGGGGTCCGGATAACCGAGGTATGAGTGTATTGTACTTTTGGGTGAGGAAAGTCGTGGCACCCCCCTTGATCACTATCCTGGCTACGCCCCTGGTTCGGCGCAATAAATCAGCGCAGGTGAATGTGTGTGTGTGTGCACGTGCGCACGTAGATGAAGTAGGCGGCAGTTGCCGGAACGATGGGTCAAGTGCAGCGTCCTACCACAGCCCCAGCAATGGTACATCCGAAGAAGTGATCCACAGAAATGTGTTGGAACAAGTTGTGGTGCAAACGCTTTCTAAGAAACTTAGGGGTCGTCGCAAAAGTGTTCTGTCGTCCCTGAAACAAACATAGTTCGTTTCGTCCTCGGACCCCTCCCCTCCCTCTGAAATGAACACAGGTTGCTATGATGGACGACGAAAATCGAATGTATGTACATGTCATATGTACAGTGTCGGTCGACTTGCGATTTTGGCTCGCACCCCTCCCTCCCCCCAAACGAATCATGTTCGTTTCAGGGACGACAAAAAACTTTTGCGACGACCCCTTACGGCGCGCTCACACTGCGACCATGAGCAAACGTCCATGCGTCAGTAAAACGCTCACACTAGACCTCGTACACGCGTAGACGTGAAGTTGTCACACAAACTTTACGAATTGCAGATCGTATCCAAAAGAGTTCGTGCGTTTCCTAATAAAGTTGTGCCCCTTTTTTGAATGTATGTTTCGCGTGTTGCATGTTGGAGGAAGTGCCTCGTGGCTCGTATTCTTGAAGTCGACGAAAATAATTCATACAATCATGTAGGTTTGGACTATTGAGGGGCTGCCGCTGACATCCAAGCGCTTTCGCTTTCCTGACCTCGTGGTCAGAGCAAGTGCCAGTGGAAATTCCAGCAGTGGTTTCTTTTGTCTGTTGCCGAGATGAGAACTGTATTTTCCGATGATATGTAACTGTAATATCTTGAGGTATGGCATTCCATCATCGCAGAAAAGTAGAGAAAGATGATTTCCCAAATTTCCCAAACCGAAAAGCCAGACCAAGCTACCATCGTATTGAACAAGTACACTGTAGAAACTGGTTACTGACCCGATCAACTGACAACGAAGCAACTACAAAAACAAAATTGACATCGTCCAAATAGGGCAAAGATTGCATATATGGCGGTGGGTGCGTGCAGGACCACAACTACATTTTAAAAATGTGCAAATGTCGAGGATGACATCGACAACCGCCGAGTTTCATGAATCAACACACCGGAATTTGAGAACATACTTCAGGCCAGGTTGTACACAAATACGTTTCAAATCGTGACCGCGACCTTCGGAGGGGGGTGCCACGACTTCGCGGCAACATGATCATGTTGCCGCGAAGTCGTGGCACCCCCCTCCAAAGGTCGCGGTCACGATTTGAAACGTGGCCGCGACGTTTTGGTCAAGTTCATGCCGTTGCCATGCAACTTGGCCGCATGGGCGCTGGTTTTGGTCGCAGTGTGAGCGCGCCCTTAGGCAGTGAAATAGAGATGTTCTGCTCTATGTTACGGGAACGCAACGCGAAGAATCGCGGTAACTCTGTCAAGGCGACCACTCGAATAAGGCGACAGACCACCTGTCCTCTAAGACCACTGAAACTACGACCAAACGGTGCTATTTTCAGTCAAATGACCCTGGATAAGGAGACCACCTGGTAACATAGACCACGTTTTCAAGGTCCTATGAGCGGTCGTCTTAGACAGGTTTCGCTGTACCGCGAAATCACACTACCACAGTACAGTGATGTCAACTGGAACTCAACCCCAGCTCTCAACCCCAGCTCTCAACCCCAGCTCTCAACCCCAGCTCTCAACCCCAGCTCTCAACCCCAGCTCTCAACCCCAGCTCGGTATGCCCACAATGCAAACATCTTGCACCCCATCGTACACTACTAAAGAGCGACCGCTAGAATCGGCACTGCAGTAACTGCATGCACTTGAGCACGGAAATCAGAGGTCGGATTTCAGTTGCCACCATTGTAGTATTATTTTAGAGCACAGATTCTCTCCCAAAGGAATCTCTGAACAGCGCAGCTATCTCTTCTGTAGCACAATGCGAATACCTTTTCGTGTTGGTACTTCCCCCACTGTTTTTTGGCACATTATGTGTTCTAGATCCTTTACTCTCTTGTACACCCAGTGGTCATTCTCCGATTTTTATTTGAGTTTATTACTTTTATCCCCTGGCTACATACACTTTTCATCACCTACATGGATCAGCAAGGAGAGTGTCCCAAGATAGGTATCCGTTCCCCTCTGGAGTTCCCGTGTATGAACAATACAATGCACTGGCCACTCTCCGAGGGTCATGTTACGCACCCACCCACATGCGCGCGCGCACACACACACACACACACACACACACACACACACACACACACACACACACACACAAAAGAAGTCTTGGCACACACACACACACACACACACACACACACACACACACACACACACACACACACACACACACACACACACACACACACACAACATTTTTTCAATGGACTACTCGGAGTAGAAGCGAGCAACCGCTGAGGACTCAGAGTAATCTCGACTTTGCTTTGTGAGATTAGGGTTACTCTTCCCAGTACATTGATATTTTACTGTAGCAATGATCATGATGATAAGCTGAGTACAGAAGGCACAGGTGCAGAGCCATGCCAACTGGACCGACAGTCGCAGATAATGTTGCATGCAAAGCAAAAACCTCACAAACCCGAACTCACTTTGCCTGCGGAAGCAACTGCCACTAAACAGCAGCTCAGGGCTGCTTCGAACCACCTCATTCTCGTCGTCCAATGCACCTTGAATGATGAACAGCAAGTACTATAAAAACATGCCTTCTATTCACTTCAGAAACAAAGACGTCTTCGTTTCGGATCACAAACTTCTATTCTGAAAAGCAGGGAAAAGAGGATGCAAAAACAACATGCGCTTTTTTTCATGGCACTGCATGCACTGATCCATAGATTTGATGTCAGAGTCTGGAGATGACGACAATCATTACACGCACTGTACTGGTACTGGACTACTGGTCAACAGGTCGCCCACGTGACCCTCGAAAACCAGCGGGTTCAACTAAAATCATGCTATTCATTCTACAGAATTGTGCAAATCCAACTGGGTTTTCAGGCCAGGTTTCAAGAGTCCCTTGCATAGCTAGCTTTGCTAGCAGCCTTGCCTCCCCTTTCGTTGCCGTTGGAGTGGGTTGTGTCGCTTGGCAGCGGTTGCGAACAGCTCGGGCCATGCCACGAGTAGATCACTGAAGGCAAACACCGTGGCATGGATGATGGCATTGATGATGGACGCGAAGTCGGAAAGAATGAATCTTGCAAAACAGAAATCGTCCAGCAGGGGCAGCACTGGTCTCTTTGCTTTGCGGCAAGCAGGGAGCAACGTTGACTTGCGGCGTTCCCGCATCACGACGTCGACTGCTCTTATTCTGAGACAGCGTCAGCCCAGGAGGCTACACTCGGCTACAGCCAGACAAGGACGGTGATATCATTACAAGTCCCTGTTTCTTCTTTGGCCCTTCTGGACCAGCAGCTCTCCCATGTTGAACGCAGCCGCTAGAGGAGACTAAATACAAGCCCTGTTGGACTGTTTCCGATATCGTTGGCGGAAAGGTAACCGGTTTGCGTAGATCTACGCTGGAGACATTTTTTGAGCAGCCTTGTTTCGTGATCACCACTTGCATCGACCTCGATTCACTAGAGTCTGCAGCACCAACCAAGTGGTTAGTTCGGTAGAGCTGGGTGTTGCTAGTCTACTAGCATTCAGCCTAAGGCAGCGGCTTGCTAGAGGAGTCGATGATGGAAGACGGCGGCGGTGTTGGTGACGTCCACTATCGCTTCACGCCTGTGGCTGGCGGCGAGAAGCTGGAGTTTCTCGACAAGGACACGCTGCAAAACCTCGAACAATGGTAAGTCAGGACCATGTACATGTACAGTAGATCTACGATCAGTAGCGGACAGCAACTGAACAGTTTTCTGGTTGAAATGGCGCTTGTGGCTATCGCTGATCCGGGAATGCTTGTCCCAGAGCGGAACGCAAAAAGCCTGTCGACCCTTCGGAAGCAGTACCAGAATCCCTCTGATAGACATTCCGCACAAATCAGGTTTATGAATGCGCTGAAAGACAGCTTCTAAGACTTTTGTAAGCCGGTGATCGCTGGGTCCGGATCAAGATCCAGATCCCAGATCCATTGGATCCCTCCGACTTGAATTAATCGATCATATTTGGAACACCATGCTACCATGACCATGCTAAGGTAGAAAACCACGTTCGGAAAGTTACTCCAGGTCCGTACTCGTTGTACTCATCTGCATGGTGCAACGCTTGTCCACGTGTTTGTTTGTTCGGTTTAGTTTTATTTTACTTCACCAGAAGCACAGGCAAAATCTGCCTTCTCACTGGGCGTATTGCCACAGTTCTCGCAAAATGATGAAGGTAGTGATAAAAGAAAAGGAGGAAGAGGAAAATACGATCATGAACAAGGCACAAAGAGAAGACGGAAACAAATCAATGAGGGAGTACTACAAGTAACGAATTGGAATTTGATGAATTTTTCATGAAAATAATGCAACGGATGCAAAGGTTCCAGGGTTGAGGGAATGTTGACAGTTATGCGTCTTTGAGATCTTAGGAGAGGGTAAGAGAGTTTAAGATATTGTTTGTAATTGCTTTCTTATAAATGCAGAAGGAATTGTGATGGAGCGGACATGTGTATGTGTACAAAATGCGTATAACAATGATTGTTACCCGCCAAACCCATACAAACGTCATGCTTGGCAAAAATGAATCCGTTGGATCCAGTGAACCCTAGCCCTGCTCCCGGACATGGTTGCTCGGATCCGTATCCGAGGGATCTGGATTAGGATTTGACCAATGGATCACTACAGATCCACTGGATCCTATGCATTTGGATCTGGATCCGACCAAACGATCACGGTCTAAGACTGCTTATACACAGAGGACTTTCCTACGATCACGCTCACACTCACACTCACTCTCTCCCTCAACTAGCATTTTGTATCTCGTCCTCATTGTTGCAAAGCGTATTCTGATTCCTCCATATCTGTTTTGTGCCGTGCGAGTCATGGTTAGGAGTTGCTTAAAAGACTTGTTTTCTCAGTGGACACTTTCTGGTTTTTCTTGCTGCTTACACCAGGGGTATGCTTGGGGGACTGCGACGCCATCGCTTTGCCTACACGGGCAAATTTGAGACCTACAAGGCGCAGGACTATTTTACGGTGAGCTGGCAACACGGAATCATTAGCACACAAACACATACACACGGGTGTGTGCACAGACACACACAGCGTTGTTTCAAGTTGCTTTATTGTGTAGTAAGGGACCATCTAGCATTATCGATAATTTTCACAAAATGAAAAGTTTAGTTATGACCCCCCCCCCCCCCGAACGAAAAATATAATTATTGACTCGACAGCTAGAAAGGATCGATGATTCAACTATCAATATTTTTCATACCGAAACTCTCGTGGACCCACCCGCCCATGAGCTAACTGTTACTTGTGATGACACTTTTCAGTTTTGTGGAAAAGATTGATGGAGTGTTGAAGGTGTTAAAATTAATAGTAGTGGTGTGTACAGGTAGACGGGTACCTGTGAGGACCTCGGGTAGACGGGTACAGAATAGTACCCGAAAAGCCGAAAACCCAAAGTCGCAGATGACATCACGTACAGCGCACGTGTACAAATTCATTGTAATACTGCGCATGGCTGCCCAGTGTGTATGGCAAGAGGTGCATTGTGGGTGTTACCATGGAAACATTACTCGATAGGGTACCCGTGCTACCCGCGGAAAACTACCTGAATCCGATACCCGAAGAAAATGCTACCCGACTCATCCCCATTAAATAGTGTAGTAAGGGAGTATTCAGACTTTTCCCATTTTCCGATTCCCTCAACCTGATGGACAAGTGGTTCCCCAGATACTAAGGCGCGTTCGAATTGTCTTCATCAACTATTCAAACAAATTTTATAAAGAGATTAGTTGAAGTGTCCATTAGAACGGTTTCTATCATTCTAGAGTTTTCCAGTGGAATTGTCATGGCGACGATGACATCCGATCAGATCGACCATCTCCACGTACTACGTGACATAGCTATTCCAAACTCTTCGAAACTAATCCACCTTCCCATCGGATGAGTTCGAGGAGTTTCGAGGAGCTTCGTTTTTCTGAAGAGGCCAATAAGGCCACCTCTTCAGAAAAACGAAGCTCCTCGAAAAGTCAAAGAGTGACAATTCGAACGCGCCCTAAGTACACTTTCTGGTTCCTGACGGGGGGGGGGGGGGCGACAACTTATCAGAGCTCCACTGAACATGCAATGCGGCACGGTGGCATTCTTTGCAGTCCTGGCGTCATTAGTTTATACGTGCAGTCGTCCCTCTTTAATCCAGCACTTTGTAAACCAGCACCCTCTATAAAACCAAAGCAGCATTTTCAGTAACCAAAATGTCCTTTTCATGCACTGTGCGGCTGTATAGCCTAATGCCAGTCGTGATTTGTTCTTTGCGGTCTACTCCCTGATGTGCAACCTTGTGATGCATGCATGTGTGCCTATCTGTGCAGGAGATGGTGAACAGCCGTGATGTCCAGTACGCACTGCAGGTAAGCACAGCATTCTACGGATATGGGCGAGGGAACTGCGGATAATGCGTTGAAGGAGTACTAGTATGTGCAAGCACACTTACATCATAGCTTAGAGTGTATGCACGCTCAGACCCCACTTGATTACCTACACAAAAAGTATTCAGGAAGGCAATGATTCTGTGAATGAAGATCGCGACTCGATGATAGGTGAGGTCTGACTGTAAATTGGAGCGGGGTCCTAGCCAAGGGGGAAGGGGTAGCGCTTCCTACTCTGATCCCCCCCCCCCCTGTCTCGCCCCTCCCCCTGATACCGTACCATCCTACTCATTTTCGATTTTTGTATTTTTCCAGGTTGCACAATGAGTTTTGTTGTCAAAAATCGATCGTTACGGGTGCACCTGCACGTTGCTTTTTTGTGACAAGGCGAAAAGTGGAACATGAAGAATTGGTGAGCTTTTGTCTCCTCTACCCCCTTCCCCGTCCCCAACAATATTTCCTGGGTAGAACCCTGCATAGTTTATTACTGTATAAGTAGAAAGTTTCGTTTGGAATAAACTTTCGCTATAGTCCTTAGGCAGCACGAAATTTTAAAAGTTTGTACCGAGCTAAAGTTTTTTTCTCAACGTTCAGGGTGACAGACCTCGACCGAAAACGAAATTTAGTACGTAACAAACCTGCTGGTGGAGTGATCTAACGAAAGATTTTGTAAACGAAATTTGTACTTATACAGTCAGTAGATCGATACTGATTTTTTGTTTTCTATGTTATGCTCGGCTATTCATCCAGGTGATGTCGGGTGCATCGTCCGGATTCTGTCGGCTTTGTAAGTCCAGTCCTATGCCACGCCGCATGCTACCTGCACGCCGTTGGGGCTGACGTTGTATGTCTGCGTAGACCGATCGAATTGTATATGGGTGATGCCCATCTTTCTGGGACTACAAGTGCTAGATGTTTTTAGAATGCCGACAACATATGGTGACTGCACTGCGGTGAACCATTTGGTTGGTGACCAGGCTTTGGAAACGAAATTCTTCACGACCCACCCACCCATAAACGAAGCATATTTGTTCCAAGTAAAGATCGATAATTATGGACGGCCCCTGACGTTGCGAATAGGATACACATGTCTCATTATCTACCACGTGACACTGAGGTGTTGTTTTCTTCTGCTTCTTCAGCAGATGCAGTGAATGGGATTTTGGATGCAGTGAATGGGATTTTGGATGCAGTGAATGGGATTTTGGATGCAGTGAATGGGATTTCGGTCTTTGACCACTTTGTGGTGGGTCTGATCTACTCACCTCCCACCGCTTAGGAGCTGCATCTGCGCCTTGATCCAAGAGGGTGGTGGCGTTCCTGCGGATGCGGAAAACTGGGCCTTTGGCCGAGTCTCACGCGAACCGTGAATTTTTTTTCTTCTTCAGCAGAATCTGCAATATTGACAATACTCGTTATCGTGAAAAAGGAGAAGGACAAAATGTTACGAGTTTAATGACTAACTGTCCACCAACATAAACCAACAACCTTACTTGTTATCCTCTATTCTTTCTTTCCACTGTAGCATCCCTGGGCTGCCAGGATGCCATGCATGTTGCAGTCAAAGAGCTCTCGGCCACAGTGACGGATTTGACCTTCTTCGACAGGATAGCGGATACCGATACAGGTCAGTGTACGTAGATGTGTTGGAGGTAGTGTGTCAGGTCGTTGAATGTCTCAGTACCACTGTCAGTTGTGTGCCTTGTCGCACTATCTGTCGGTGTAAAAAGTTGCAAAGATTCCGTCGTGGGTCTCTGTGGTTTCAACAGTTCTAGATCCAATTATTTTTGTTGTACTTGTGCGTGCACTTTGCGTGCATACAAGGTGTGTGTGTGCGAGGTGCATGCATGCCAATTTGCTTCGGCATAGCTCTGGAGGTGTACTAGTATCTGCGGTTTTTTTTAAATCCTTGACCGTGCACGGAATGTGTGTATGGTAGGAGAGGCTAATCCTGTATGTGTAGGATGTTGCTATTGTGTGAAAAAGCGGTCTTCGTCTTCACTTTGTCATTTCCAGTTGTGTTTCCGTCGTCTACTCGTAATTACGTGTATAATTTTTCCCAATGTAGCCTCTCTTTAATTGTCTGAGTGTGGAGATGAGACGGGGCTTGGAGCAGTACTTGTATAAAAAATAATTTAAGTTACCACAAATGTACTCTCATCCTCTTTTGAGGCTCTCAATGTATTTGAGAGCTCTGTACAAAACGTATTCTCAGTCAATGTGTGTGTGTGTGTGTTTGCAAAGTGGCTTGCAAATTCTTCCATGTTCATTTATAACTCTGTTTCATCTTCCATCAAGGTCTGATCTCGCCGTCTGGTACGTTCAAGCAGCCAAACATATTCGATCGCATGCCAGATGACCCCGATAGCTTTGATCTGGTTAGAATGGTGAGTTTTGGATGACTTTTGATTTGCAGGGCGCTGGGAAGCCAGCTAAGAGTTTTGATCAATCGATGAACGAGAGAGAGAAAGATAAATGGAAGGAGATATGGAGAGAGAGAGAGAGAGAGAGAGAGAGAGAGAGAGAGAGAGAGAGAGAGAGAGGGAGGGAGAGAGAGAGAGAGAGTAAAAGAGAGGGAGAGAGAGTAAAAGAGAGAGAGAGAGAGAGAGAGAGTAAAAGAGATTGAGAGAGAAGATCTGTAGTGTTTCTACCACTGGGAACAATAGGTAACAATGTATGTCTAGTCCTCGTATTAGTTGAACAACGGTTTTTTATTAGGGTATATCAAGGTATGACGACACCCCGATGATGGCACTTCTCCTCTTTGTACAGATGCTGGCATGCGATCACTCACCTCACAAGGATCTTTACTCTATGCCAGAACGCCAGGAGCTCATCTTCAGAATCTTCTACCACTTAGTGCTGGGTGGTGCCATCTGTCAGGTACGAGCTAGAAGGTTTGACTATGCTGCACTATGAGCGGGCTTTGAGCAGTGCAATAATGTAACTATAGCACTGTGAGCAGCTCTTGAGCAGAGAAAGATTGTACCATGTTTTCATCTCTGAGCTGTCCAGCAGACATGTACTTAGCATGCAGGATGGGCGGAAGCAGTTTTTGATTGGCCCGCCGTGCCCGGTGACAGTCTTCCATACTTTGTGTATGATGTGACCAGTACACATGCCCTCCTCAGCAGTAAACACTGGCATGCCCGTTTGGCAGCCAAACAGTAAGTCCGGTCATAGCCTGACCAACCGGACCGCTTGCGCTGCCACTGCTTAGTATTGGTTATTTCACACCATTGTTGTAGCATAGCTGTTGCCATACCAACACCATCATGACATTGTTATGTATTCATGCAGTTGCATGTGGTAACTAGGCCACCCAGAATTAATTCCTTGTTTCGGGTCACCCGACCGACTGTCTTTTTTCACCCGACCGCAAAGCGTTTTTTTTTTATAGTGCTTGCAAATGTACATAACTAGACTATGTACACACGTGACCCTATTAATAGCAGTCCAGATATCGACCTCAGAAGCAGCCAAATGACAGGATGCAGCGCTTGGTGACATTGTCTTCTACATGTATCTCCGATCCGCAATCGATCTTGAAACAGCATCAGCTCCGCCACCTTGTCGCTCATTGACAGAAGTTTTCAAGGTGAGAGCTGCTCATCAGACTCGTTTGCTAGCGAGGCCAAGATCCTGTCCTGGAGGTGACCTGGATCTGATGGGACAATGATTGCTCTGGATCGTCTACAGTCAGATTTGATCTACTGGCTTGATGGACAAAAGCTATTCGATATGCACAATTGTACATGTATGCAGATGGCCGAAACCAAAATAAAAAATAAAAAAAAATAAAAAAACCCGACCGACCGACCCTGGTACAGATGAGTGAAGTGACCCGAAACAACGAATGAATTCTAGGTGGCCCTATATATTTTTAGCATGCGCCGAGCACTATGCACTGGCGTCTTCATTTTAGCTGAGGCGACCAGGCTTTGCTTGGCAGCTCGTTTGCTAAACCTAGAGTGAACCTGGATTGTTGAAATTACGATAAAATAATGGGTATTGCAGCTTGGCATTATAGTCATACAGATTGGTATCCAGAAGGCAATGTAGATTTTGACACGTCCACAGTGTTTTGTCTGACTGCTCTATTACCTGATGCTGCAGTACGACGAATCACTGCAACGCTACATGTCGACCACGGCCGCCATATATGGCAAGCTTGTAACGTAAGCGAACGCCGGTTTGTAGGAGTTGTCAGCCAGTATACAGTGCTGGTAGCCACGCTCCAGAGTCGAAACGCTTATCATCAACATGTAGACTGAGTGGAGTGTGGCGGTCGGTTTAGACTGCCAAGGTTGATTGTGAGCCTACACTAAAACCAAGAGTCCATAAACAAGAGTGTGCAACGCGCGATAGGGTCTTGTCACGACTCGTTTTCAACATTACGCCATTTTCATGTACATTTTCATGTAGCGAATGTCGCGGCCTGCACGCGCAGCTACATGAAAATGACGTAATGTTGAAAACGAGTCGTGACAGACATTTATGTGGCGTTGCACACTCTTGTTTATGGACTCTTGCTAAAACCTGTAACTTAAGACCACGGTGACTAGCGACCAGCCTGGTACTACCGACCACTTTTCCAGGCACGGACGGTCTCACATTCATGTATGGCTGTGCGGTGCAAACCTCTAACTGAGGACCACCTGCCAGGAAAGACCGCTTTCTCTGGCCACAAGGGGTGGTCGTTAGTCACAGGTTTTTACTGTAATTGTATATGTGACAGTATAGTATGTGGGCACCGGTCTGCACTTCTGCCGGGTGCCGAAGAACGTAGTGCCGAGGAGCAGACAGGCTAGAATTTCACCAAGCACAGCATAGCGATATACTGTAAAACATGGAATTTTAGGTGCATTAAAATTTCAGTGCCAGCCGGGGACCTGCCATGTTTCAGGTGTAATGTAGAATTAAGTGACCAGCGTTCCCTTCACGTACAGTGCATACCCTGGTGCCTTTTAGGTGTAATTTAAATTTAGGTACCTGGTTTCTCTACCGAAATCACCCAAATTAAAGTTACACCGAAAATGACATGTTTTACAGTAAGCAATATGACTCTACAGCGCATAGACTGCTGTACATGAAAATAGGAACAGTCTAGGTTACGCGGCTGACCCCCAGTTCTTCAGCACCCGGCAGTACGGTATTTGCAGTGATCTTGCCTGCGCAAAGTGTTGTCAAAGAAGACCACGGCTGGGATTCTTCCAAAATGTTATAAATTATGGACGTGGCATTGTAGGTTCAAACAGTGAGGAAGATCTAACTCTGTGTGTGTTTGTGTGTGTGCACATGTGTGCGTGTGTGTGTGTGTATGTGCGTGCATGTGTGCGTGCGTGTTTGTCCATGAATGTCTGCCGCGCGGCGTGTCTGTGCTCCAGGCCATACAAAAATCCTGACAGTCAAGACCAGCGTATTCTGCTGCGAGCACACGCTTTTGAGCTGTGTGTCAAGGCAAGTGTAAGTAGACAGGAATGGGTCTAGTGGAGAATGATTGAAGATTCACCTGGTTCACTTTGTTTACAGGGTTCTCGCGAAAGCAACATAGCAAAGGGCTACGCCCTCCTTCACTTGTTGATCCTCCCCCCCCCCCCCTTCAGAGTGCGAGCGCCACCTTAAACAAATTTAAAATCTGCATGATGAGTGCAGATCACGTAGTGGCACTCCTATAGATCATCACTTACCTCTGAAAATCGCACTCATGGCAGGTTCCAATGGCCAGTGAATAGATACAGTGAAACCTGTCTAACACGACCGCTCAGGGGACCTTCGAAATGTGGTCTCTGTTACCATGTGGTCTCCTTATCCAGGGTCATTTGACTGGAAATAGCATCCCTTGATCCTGGTTTCAGTGGTCTTCTAGGACAGGTGGTCGCCTTGACAGGTTTACTGTACACGGAGTGGAAGTTGGCCGGGCCAGTTACCACCGCTTCCTTCTGGTATCGGTGGAACGGGGGATGGTGGAGGAGAAGGGGATGTTGGGATACTGTTAGTTGACAAATTTTAGGTACATCATAACCTCTATACTGTAGCATGGGATGTAGGTTAGGGTGGGGAGGGGGAGGGGGGGGGGGGTAGGTTGGGGTGGGGAGGGGGGGGGGGTATGTGTAGGTACATCATGACCTCCATTGCATCACTACAGCATGGGAGTGTACGTAGTGACTACACCCAATTTCCAAAACTTGCTCCGATCGCTTCGATTTTGGTCTCATTCGATTCTCCCAGGCGTAGTACATAGGAAATCTGTAAGTATTATTCGGATCGGCCCAGCCATTCTTGAGTTATAGTGAGTTGAAGTGCGCCAAGTTGGACTTTTGCTGGAAACAGAAATGAATGGGAGCGATGGGAGAATCGAGAACGACCGCACACTAGCGGCACAGTCCGTGCATGCAGTACAGTGTAAAGTGCACACGCCTCGTCACTCGAACTGCGCGTAGAAAATTGCATACTTAGGTATGCTGGCGCAGAACAAATTCGCTCGTAGAGGAAGACGAAAGCGTCTCACCGCCTTGTAATTTCACATGGCCACTAGTTTTTCGACGCTGAAGACGATGGAATAGTCCGCGACGCTGCGACCCGACCAGAACAACCCGAAATTCATACCCTGAAAAAGCGCTGAGCGCAGAGCTCCTAAATTTTGTCGTGTGGAAACGGGACTTCGGGTCTCAAGGGCACGAACATCTCCTCTCTCAGATAAAGCAATTCACTCGATGCGATATTCTACAATTTGACCTGGCCACGCCGAAATGCACTGCCATGTCGGATTCTCCCATCGGAAGTATAGAAACGTGTTTCCAAAAAATCAGCGTCTGGGTGCGAGGGAGTAAAGTCACTAATGTAGGTTGGGGTGGGGGGAGGCACACTATGGGTATAGCGGGGAAATGGATGGTGTTGGGATATGCATTTGGGAGGTTAAAAAATAATGGTTACGGGATGGGTGGAGGTGGGGAGGTATATTGGGTAGGAAAGGAGAAGGGAGGGGTGTTGCGAGAATGCCTGCTTGCTTGCTGGCTTTGTCAGCACAGCAAGGATGATTCTCTACAGTGGTGTGCATGGGTACGTGGCGTCATAGATGAACCGCTTTGCCACAGGTCAGGGCAACCCTGCCCGTGAGCGCATTATATAATCGTTTGGAGCTTCATGAAGAAGTCGGTTGTTTAAAGAAAGTCCCTGCTCCGAACTCGCGCTTCCTGCCGAATGACATGACACTTGATTGACTTACAACTGCAACGAGCACACGAGAAGCCTGTCGAGCTTTGCACTCGGCAAACCTGCAAGAAAGCACCTCTCCCTCCCTGCTCAACACACAGTGTTTCGGACAGTTGTTCGTTCCAGGATTCACTGTGTTGTTTAAGAGCTTGGAGCCGGACACGCAGAGGCGAACATAACCTGGCGCAGTGAACACGATGGCATGCTCCTCTCCTGGGAAGCCTGTCGACAGTTGCGGATAATTCCAGTTGACTACCCGAACCCCATCAACATGTTGCTATACTCGCTTTGCCGGCTAGAAAGTGTCCATAACTATCCTCTGCAATGTGGTTTGGTTCTGGCGCCTGGGCTTAGCTAGCATATGATACTTCCAGTCTTTGAGCAGTGTGGGTTGCTAAACTCGATGCAACTAAGCACTTGAAGAGGCAATGCCACCACACACTATACTGGCTTTGTCAGCTAGAAAGTGTCCATACCTATCCTCTGCAATGTGGTCTGGCGTCTGGGCCAAGCACATGATACTTTCAGTCTTTGAGCTGTGTGGGTTGCTAAACCCGATGCAACTAAGTACTTGAAGAGGCAATGCCACCACACACTATACTGGCTTTGCCAGCTAGAAAGTGTCCATACCTATCCTCTGCAATGTGGTCTGGCATCTGGGCCGGCCACACGATTCTTCTGGTCTTCAAGCTGTGTGGATTGCTCGGTCCGAGGCAACTACTTGAAGGCGAAATGCCAACAGGCTGCTGTACTGGCTTTGCCAGCTATGTCCCGCGTGATTGTATCGGGGTTTGGTATATGGGCCAGCCTCACAATTCTTCCTGTCTTCAAGCCTTCAAGCTGTGTGGATTGCTCAGATCGAAGCACTTGCTTGAAGGGGCAATGCCAACATTATGCTATACTGGCTTTTCCAGCTAGAATATCCCTCGTGTTGTTATTGTGGGGTATCTGCGCCAGCCACACCGTCAGATTCATCCTGCCCTGGAGCACTGCGGACTCCGCAATTGCTTGGACGAGTGCTAGCGCCACCATACTCTAGAAGCATCAACCGGCGAAGTGCGAGTAGCACAGGATATATTGAAGGAAGCACTCAAAACTTGGGCATTGCTCACTCATCGTTTGTACTATAGCCTGGGCTTCATAAACGACTCACATGTAATTAACGTGGCAGTTTATCTTCAATCCTTGCAGCAGATACTTCATCCGGTGCGGCGTATACCGTATTTCTGGGGTCACCGAAAAAGAGATGATGCGGATTATACCGTATTTCTGGGGTCACCGAAAAAGAGATGATGTGGCTTATACCGTATTTCTGGGGTCACCCAAAAACGGATGATGCGGCGTATACAACGATTGTCCAAGGTGAACAATAGGGTACAAGTACGTACTGTATTTCCCCGAATATAAGTCGCACCTTTTTACAATAAAATTCGAGGGTAAAAAAGGGGGGGGGGGGAGGGGCTCGACTTACAATCGAGCGTGACTTACGACTGAAGCCAATAATTATATCAAATCAATATTGCTAAAACCTGAAAATGGGGGTGCGACTTATAATCGGGTAAGTACGGTACATGTCTGTATCAATTTTGTGACAAAATATCTGGATGCGGTTTATCCTAGTACTCCAGTGTGGATTACAGGCTCCGGAAAGTATGGCAGGTACTAAAGGCATAGGTGAAGGAGAGTATCCTGGCTAAATCTATAGCTACACAGTGGCGTCGGAAGGTAATTTAGTGTGCTTCTGTCAGCCATCTGAAGAACAGTTTACTCGTGGTGGGGGAGGGGTGGCGAAGCCGAAAAATTTGGGAAATTAGAGCCCAAATCAGTGCATTTTATTGATTCGCAGGGTACTTGGGTCAAATAGTGGTACGGTCAATGCAGTAGTGACCGTACCGTGTGCGACGCCCCTGCTACAAGGGCGACTAATTGCACTGTAAGCATTTCCTAAATGTCGACATGTACGAGTACATGTATGTGTAAAATGCTAGTATACGATAATCGCAAGGCACACAACGAAAGAGAAAGAGGGGATTTGTTCTGAAGTTTTCTTGTTACATTCATCGGTGAATATACGCTACAATGGAATGGGGACTACTTGAAACGATGTTTGTTCTATTTTACTGGTGTTTTCCTTGTAATGGAATGGCTAACAGGCTGATGATGGACAGTGCATACTGCCTGGGACAGCGCCAGCTGCAGATTCGTTGACACTGGACTTGTCCGACGGTGGTGGCACGGTTTCATCGCCCAGCTTTGCGTATGCGATCGTCGAGCCGCTCCGCAAGCAGGTCACGGTTTTCAGTTTCGACCGACGGGCCGGCTCCTGGAATGACGAATAGGTGGCTGCTACGGCGCGCTGTCGTGTCATGATAGGCCTGCTATCCGCTCTCACGCACACGCTGCGGATACGCAGTGTCACCGCTCTCGCACACACACACACACTACGGATTTGCAGGGACACTCTGAATGGCACACATGCATCATTCTCCTGCCATTCGGTTCCACAGGGCAGGTCCCATCACAACAGTACACACGGTGACACCAGCTCTGTATGCAACGTCAACTGTGAGGTCATACTAACATATCTACCAGAGCTACTTGTACCTGCCGAATATGGGCCTGCCAATAAGTGGACGGCCATATTTGATGCATGCCTCCCGCCACTGATTGGATGCGCGTGCATGTGTGTGTGTGTGTGTGTGTGTGTGTGTGTGTGTGTGTGTTTACTGAGCAGCTGAGTCATAACATTTTCATGTAGCATTATGCCTAGTAGAATCATGTGATTGTGAACTGTTCATATGCTCAATGTGCTCAGTGCTCTGTAGCTCATATCGTGGCGGGGAATACCCAAACTCCAAAATCAACCCACACTGTGCTCCCGTCTGCAGCTTAGGGTGGTGAGGGTGGTGGTCGTGGTCTGTGTGTGTGTGTGTGTGTGTGGGGGGGGGGGGGGGGAGGGGTACAGACTGATAGACATCTGCTTGTTCTGAGGTACAGTAAAAACCTGTGACTAACGACCACCCCTTGGGGCCAGAGAAAGCGGTCTTTAGTGGCAGGTGGTCCTTAGTTCGAGGTTTGCACCGCACAACTAAAATTAATATGAATGTCAGACCGTCCATGCCCGGCGAAGTGGTCTGTAGTACCAGGCTGGTCGCTAGCCACGGTGGTCTGAAGTACCAGGCTGGTCGCTAGCCACGGTGGTCTGTTTTTTTTTGTTTTTTTTTACGAGAAACCTCGAGAACAGAATACTGCATGATAGAGGTGGTTGCAGACGCAACTGTGGTGGTGAAACTGGAGCATCGCGTCTGTAGTACCAGGCTGGTCGCTAGCCACGGTGGTCTGTAGTACCAGGCTGGTCGCTAGCCACGGTGGTCTGTAGTACCAGGCTGGTCGCTAGCCACGGTGGTCTGTAGTACCAGGCTGGTCGCTAGCCACGGTGGTCTGTAGTACCAGGCTGGTCGCTAGCCACGGTGGTCTGTAGTACCAGGCTGGTCGCTAGCCACGGTGGTCTGTAGTACCAGGCTGGTCGCTAGCCACGGTGGTCTGTAGTACCAGGCTGGTCGCTAGCCACGGTGGTCTGTAGTACCAGGCTGGTCGCTAGCCACGGTGGTCTGTAGTACCAGGCTGGTCGCTAGCCACGGTGGTCTGTAGTACCAGGCTGGTCGCTAGCCACGGTGGTCTGTAGTACCAGGCTGGTCGCTAGCCACGGTGGTCTGTAGTACCAGGCTGGTCGCTAGCCACGGTGGTCTTTAGTTACAGTTCTTACTGTACTCCGTCACCAATGATGAACCATGCATGGGCTAAGTACTGCTTCTGTGTCGCAAGGGAGCAATGGAGAGGGAGGAGGGGTATGTGCCCCCCACACACACACAGACCAACACGCACTCCATCACACGCTAGACCAGAAAGACACAGGCAGGAAAATAAGGAGTACCGTCGCAATAGAGAAGTGGCTGCATCACCGCCCGTGTGCCTGTGGCAATGCGTGAAGAGAATCAAGTATCATCGATGCCTCAACGTTCAAGTTGTCGTGAACAACGGCAAGCGGCAGAGACTATACGATCATGGTGATGTAGATGGCATGGCACTGGCAGGGTGCACGTCAAGTATACAAGCGTGTAAACCAGTGGTGTGCGGGTGATAAAAGCGACGAAACAATGCCGGACTTGCGAGTAGTAATTTAACAATGCCGGACTTGCGAGTAGTAATTCAACAATGCCGGACTTGCGAGTAGTAATTTAATAATGCCGGACTTGCGAGTAGTAATTTAACAATGCCGGACTTGCGAGTAGTAATTTGACAATGCCGGACCTGCGAGTAGTAATTTGACTGAATGTACGGTAAGAAAGCAGACTAGGATCAGCTATGTTCTACAGGGCATCCTTAGACCGTACACAACACATTCATTCAGGAACATGTGTGCACATCACGGACGGGTTGAGCATGGCATAGGGTCCATCAAGCCATGCAACAGCGTTGTCTCAATGGGCTAGCTTCTGCACCTAAATCTGCTGTACACACCAGCCGTGCAGCGGTGGGACACTTCGGTTGCTGTCAATCTATGAATAAGCATAATTTACGGAGTACGGATGTGACGCTCGCACTCCACGTAGCGTGAATGTGCGTTGCACTACGGCAGTAGTACATACTACACTATGATAATGCTGTAAACATCAGCACGGCTGCTTGATTTCTCTGCTAGGTCACGGTTTGAGCGCGTTCATAAACCTCCACGCCGCTCATACGAGGCGTGGTCGAGAACAATTGCAGTATTACACTGAACTCACTCACACGATCTCTCCGGGTTCTTTCGTGCCTTCGTAACAATCACATCTCTCTCTCTCTCTCTCACTTGCTTCTACCTCAGTACCTGTTTTCTTTGTTAGTGAGTAGCCTGCAGAGGTCTCAAGTAGGTGCCTCAGCCACCGGACTCTCCAAATACAGTGGGCCATTATCCCGCGGAGAGCAGATGATATTTTCCTGTGACATTTGCGACGAGATCACCACGGATACGGCGAGTGAGGATGGAGCGGTGTTGTTCAGTACATCCTCGTCGCTGTCTCGCCACGGCGGTGTGTTTTCCGCAAGGCTCGCGCCGCCCGGCGCTGCAGTTCCATTCGACGCTGTGCTGTTGCCGTTGGCCACTCTGCTGTCGCCGTTGGGAACTCTGCTGTTGCCATTCGGTGCTGTGCTGTTGCCGTTGGGGAACAGGTTCCCCGCCGAGCTGGCACCGATGACGGTCCATTCGGACGACACTGCGTTGTCGGCACTCGCCGAGCTGGCTGCCGACCTACGAGCCGCCGCACTGCCGCCACCGGAACGCAAGCTGACCAGGGAGAGGCGCGTTGACAGTGAGCCGACCATGGTGGACAGCAGGCTCATGCGTCGCTTGACGCCCGCCTTCTGCCAGATGGTTCGCTGGAACATCCAGCTGGAGTACACTGCGCCGGTGACACCCAGCAGGATGGCGAACACAAAGTCGCTGACTAGATTGTACGTTGGTATGCTCTGACTGGCGCAGCGATCCGCGCCGCACGTCGCCAGGGTGCAGACGAACACGGCAAACGAGTCGAAGTACGTGTTCGGATCGATACCGGCGATGCGTACCGCGGCCACCGCCAGAATCCAGCCAATACCGCTCAGCACCATGATCAGGATGTAGAGGAACAGCGTCTTGATAATGCGACTCAGAGACTCGTCGGCGCGGTTGGCGCCGCCGTGGATCGCGGACGCCTCGCGCCTCGTCACGCGCGACGTGTTGCGCACCGTCCAGAGTTGATACATGCCGGCGGCGAGGAACACGGCCTGCAGGCAGCTGGCCGCCGTGTACGGCATCTCCACGGCGGCAAACGAGTGCTTGGACGCCACCGTGCATATTCCATTCTGTATGATCATGTCCACGCCGTCGTCCTTGGCGAGCAGAACGCCGACGCCGATCGCCGCGAACACCAAACCGGCGAGGAGCACGCCGGCCTCGAGCAGCATCTGTGCGGTGTCGTCGCGCCGAGTCAGCGTCACCTTTTTAAAGCTGCGCGCCAGCCGCAGCCAGGAGAATGCTATGAGTACGGTGACGGTCTGCAGCAGGATGCCGCCGCCGTAATTGAACACGAACGTGTACACACACAGCGCACTGTCAGTGAAGTTGTCCCTGCGAAGTGTGCGGTCAGAGTGGCACAGCAGCGGGACAACGTCGACCGAGGCCGCCGGCAAATAGCTGACGATGAAGAGGAGAAAGCTGACGTTGAGGTAGAGGAACAGACGGTTCGGGTAGCGGAACATGTTCTTGCGGTTGACGACGGCCATGACGAGTGTGGCCAGCGTGAGCAGTAGCGATATGTACACGCTGACGCTTTGTACGGCGCGCAGAGCCAGTGCCACGTCTTCGTCGTAGCCCTCGGCCCGGCATTCCTGACCGCACGGGAACATGCAGGGATGAAACGGACGCCGCAGGTTGGTGACGAAGTCGTTCAGGTTCGCCTCCTGGGCTGCGAACTGCGGTAGCCAGTGTTCCGGATCGTCGGTGGTCTGAAACGGAGTCGGGCAGGAGTACACGGGCACACCGGCACATTGAGTTGTCGCTGCTGCCCCCGCTGCTGTTGTTGTTGGCTCGGGCCCGTCGGCGTTTGCGGCACTGGCGTTTGTCGGTTGGACGAAGCAGCTGGCTACACGCTCGGCGTTGCCCGCCCGTACGCACTGGTCGTGCCAAATACGGTAGAACAGGTATGGACCGCCGATGGCCGACTGCGGGTACGTGCGCGGGTAGAAGATGGTTTCCAGCAGTCGCGGCGTATTGCATACGGACGCGTCCTGCGCGTACAGGTGCACTGGCGCGCCGTCTTGGCACGGCGGGTACGCAATAACACACATGTCTGGTCTCTCCACTCCGGCAATGTCCGCTAGAAAATCCAGCTGTTCGTCGTAGCTCGCCACGGTCGACAGGGATGCGAGCAGTCGCGACGTGTCTCGGAGCTCACGCTCGATTCGGTCCAAATCGTACATTAGGTCGGCGGACACCACATCCTGCAATGACGTGGCGCTTGCAGATAGCTGATCCTTGACGTACACCAGGTACGTGATGTCAGGCATGCTGCCTGCTCCACTGCTACCACTACCACTACTACTAGAATCGCTGTCGTTCAGCATACTCAGCTCTGCACACGTGACCTCAGTGAAGTCCTGCAGCTCCTCCAGGGTGGCGGAGACGTTGGTCAAGGTCTCGTTCTGCACTGTGCTGTTCTGCGCCTCCGACGGCGACAGCAACGCGTAGACCATGTCCAGTGACGACGTCAGGTCCGCTACGTCACGTGCTAGAACGCATAGGTTCAAAGTACTCACCTGACTAGCCGTCACAGCGCTGAACTGGGCGCACGCGGCCGAGTTGTTCACTCCCCCGGCCGTCAGCGCCCGCCGAAGATCCTCGCCACTCGGAAACGGCGGACATTGCGATACGGATTGCGAAACTGAAGCCTGGCGCGCGGACCGGCCATGTCCGACAATTTCCACCTGGTTGGATGCCTGGATTCGTCCCTGATCGCCGATTTCACGTCTCACTCTTGCTGAAACAGCCAAAACATTGTCCTCACCTACAGATGTTTGTAGTCGCCGGCTATCATCGGAACTCAGTCGATCGGGCCATCGAAGGGTGGGTTCCACCGACACTTTAGCAATGATGACCAGTCCTAGGAATATGATTACAATAATCTCACCTCTAGTTACCGTCTCGTTTACTTCTAGGCACCCAGGCCGGCTTGACGTAAACCAACGCATAGCGATCGCGGCCCGCTGCACTGGTGCGACGGCAAGGGTAAAATAAAAATATTGTCGAACCTGGTCGATGTGTACGCCGGCAGGAGAGCAACGCATC